ATAGAAGAATACAGAGAGCATGAATGTCGGTGGAGGGTCAAAACAAAGGCATACCACAACAGGGACCTAAAAGATCCAGCTTATAGCAAGTTAACAAAAACGTTTTTGCCGTACGAAAACTGACTGCACACTTGCCACTAGGCGGAGAAATTTCAGTCCGGCCGGCAGGCGAATCGTTGCGTGTATGGGGACCCTCCTTTCACAGGCCAAACTGTTCAGTTTGGCCTTCCGGCCCTCGCCGGCCGGCCGATCGTTACGTCTATGGGGGGCCTTAGGCACTATCAAGACTACAAGATCGCGCCACTCATTCTACACTCATCTCCATTCATACTTGGCTTAAAATGCCTAATTTGTATGGTCGCTATTTGATTGAGAAAGTATAAGTATAGTTAGAGTTTTTGAAAAAAAATATTGACATTGGCGATTAGTAAATAGTAGCCTATGGCTACAATTCATTTATGTAATTCTTAGGACTTAGGCCTACGTAGGCCCTCCCTAAAACAATTTTTGTTTGTGAATTAGTAGGCCTAATACTGTAGTTTACACTAGTTATTCAACGTAGTTGCGATATTAAAGCAGAGCTAGCATATTAATACAATACGTTTCCAAAGTCAATGCTGCATCTGGTTAACGTAAATTTTAAATGGGTTGTATACTTGCAGAATTATAAGTCAATGCTAAATCTAGCTTACATAAATGAGATTTCTCCTTACAGTATCGAAAATCGATGGTACATCAGCTTCTCATATAATTATGGGATGTCTATTTGCAGTATCCAAAGTCAGTGCATCATCTGGTTCACATAAATAAGAAATCTACTTCCAGCATCCAAACTCAATGGTGCATTTGGTTCACGTAAATAAGCAGCGGCTACACTTACCCGATTCGGTCCGGTACGGTCCGGTTCGGCGCGGAACGATCGTCCAGGGAGCATTTAGCGCATTTTTCCGCATTTGGCGGAAGCATTCGGGGCGGACCGGACCGAATCGGACAAGTGTAGCCACCTACTCCCGAAATTCGGATTTATTTATTTATTTATTCCAACGGCATTAATCACCAATTTACAATGAGGATGCAAGAAGCCTATGTGGTAACAACATGCATTTTAACAGAAAACTTAACAACTAACTTAAATCTATGGCAGGATCAGAGCAACATTGGTAACAGGAAATATAATCATGACTAGGAAAGCAATAATTAACAATGAAGTACAAAATAATTGTGAAAAAGCAATAACAAAGGTAAGAATTTGGACTGGCAATGGCAATACAGTTAAACAATCGATCAGCAAAAGCAAGGTAAATCTTTGGCTAGGAAAGCTAAAATATAACAATGAAGTCGAAATGAACATTAGGTACATGTATGATGTAAGTTGAAACAATGAAGTCGGATGAGGATCGGGTGGTTCCGTGAGCACTCGGCTACGAAAGTAATGAATTAAATTAGGAAAAATAGTTATTTGTAGGACATAGGCCTAAGAATTTAGGCAATTATGTTCATATATTGCCTCGTTCATGGAAGACGATAATGTCTACACGACCGCGCATAATAGTCTGAATTTTGCCGCAATATCGGGAGACGATTACAATATCTACACGGCCGTGAGGAAATATAGGAAGTTTACCGCGATTGCATGCAAATACAACCACAATTTGTTTTTAATTTTTAATTTTTTTGGCACCCCCCAAAAAAGCCAATTGCCTCGCGCCCTAGGCACGTGCCTATCGTGCCTATTCCGTACGGTCCTGACTAAAAACTTTCTGTATTGGTGTACAGTACTTGTGCCCCGTGCTCGTGTGTGTCCTCCAAAATATCGTACAAGTGTAGCTACCTCTTCCGGCCGGACCGAAACGATTCGTACAAGTGTAGCCACCCCTCACAAATTCGGGCCGGATCGAAACGAACCGGACCGGACCGAATCGGGCAAGTGTAGCCGCTGCTTTTGCAGTATATCCAAAAAGTAGTATCCAAATGGAACGTCTCGTCTAGTTCACGTAAATGATCTTACTTGCAGTTTGTTCACATAATGGGATGGTTATTTGGAGAACCTATATCTAAAATCAATGGTGCATTAGCCTAATTCTTTCGACCCTAATATTGGTTATTCATTTTTATTAAATTACGCTCAACGATATTAATCCAATTGTTCTTCCCTTTTGTTGTGTATTATTTTGTAATGCGCTCGTTTAGATAATTCGTTGACTAACGCAGGGGTGTAGTCGCTCCTCTCAATGAACGGATCTTTATTTGTCTCGGCCCATCTCGACCAAGACCAAGGTGGCGTGTGCTGAGCAAATCATCTTGCACATGGACCACACAACATTCCTAATACAGTAATATGTTCATATTGAAGAGATGTTGGCGTATCTACAGGCAGTATAAACATGATAAGGTAGGAGGTGGAGTCGTCACTAATGAACCAACAGTCAACATTGGCGAGGCTGTACCTCGTACCGCGTACTCAGAGTGTGAAGATTTGTGTCAAAGTATTGGTAGGAGGGCTCTGGACCACAGGCCGATTTCCAAAGGGCTGTTTACTCCCAGAGTTTAAGTGATTTGATTTCATTAATTAAATGAAAAGGCTGGTCTATGCAATTAAATGGTGTTTGTTTATTTACTGTACTTCAAAACAAAGGGTCGTGATGCTTTATTTACATTGAGGAGATATGTGTGTTGTTAGTAAAATGTGTTTAACAACATATGGTGTTAGTTGGTGTTAGAATGTTATTTATTTAGTTTTTGTTGGTAAACATTCTGTTATTTTGTAGAGAAAATGTTGTACAAAGTTTTGTATAATAGCCTATTGCTCATACTATTCTTTGTAATTTATATAGTTACTAGCTGTTGTACCCGTGCTTCGCAACGGGAAGTGAACACGAAATAGAAACATTTTGATTTTTACATCTTTTAATAAAATAGTTACACATAAGCCTTTTAAAAACAAAATTTAACCTTTATGGCCTTTATAGGATATACGGTAATAGATGTTGTCATAAATGTAAAAAAATAATAGTACTGCACCCTGTTGGTACCTTGTAACTTTTTAATGCTATTCAATATCATATAACCAACTTGGATAGTTGAAACAGCTGACAAAATTATTTTATTCCTTTTAAATATAATTACTCATAAGGTTAACATGGGAAACTCCAGAGCCACTGGGGCGGAGCCCGAAAGGACTTTTGAGATAAGAATGCGTCTATATGTTAATCGGGTATGTGAGCTTTCATCATACCAAATTTCAGCTCAATCCGACCAGTATTTTTCGCGTTTACTTGTAACAAACATACATACATCCATACATCCAAACTTTATCATTTATAATATTATAGTAGGATAAGTAAGCTACAGGCAAAGAGGCTTGACTATGGCAAAATATATTTTTTATAAAACATCAACAAAAAGTAATTTATGTGATTGCTACACTAAAGTATGGTGTTCTTTGAATGATTTTGGATCTATTTACATTAAATTTAAGTATGTTTGGAAAGTAAGTAGGTCAGGTCCACACTTTTAAATCAAATTAGACTAAATCGTACAGTTAACAGAATTTTAAAACACACACCAGCACCACTTATACACTGTAAATGAAACATAAGCCGTTTAAAGATAAGCTTTTTACCTTTACTATGTCTTAAAATTTTTAAAAGTTTTTTATTTTAAAATGAATAATAGACGTGCAACTACTTTATACAGCAGATTTAATGAACAACATTATTCTCTTCCCGTGGTATACTGTATTTAACTATGCGTATGAATTGATCCGATACGAGTTCAATCAGCAACGCAATCAAAGTATTCCTCTGTGGTGTAGCCGAGTCTGATTGCTGCGTTTTGGTGACCGCGAGCGTTATCAGCGGAAACCGCGACTGATAGTGGACGCCTGATAACTAGTAAAAAAGAATATTGATCATCACTTGTGACACTTGCCCCTGATGACTGTGTACTGCCATAAAATAAACATCTGCTGTATGAAATAGTTACACATCTACACCTATTTATTTATTTTAGAAACTAACCTTAATTTACCACTTAAGTGTAGCAAACTTCTAATCTTTTAATTTTTTCCAGGCAACCATTACAGTGTATACTTTTACTGTGTGAAATGGGGTGATGATGTGTCTTTTGAAGTACTGTAACTCTATGATTTGACACTTTTATCGCTAATAAAATATAAAAATCTTTAACAAAATATAAAAATTTGTTGCTATGAAATTTATATTGAATAAAAATACAGAATGCTTATTAAGTAACATGATTAAATGAAATGAAATTAAATTATGACAGCCACTGATCTCAGACCAGTATGATTTGCAGAACCTCAAATTCCGGTCGCATAAACGCATGTCTGTGGAACCGGACCGGACACAGGGAACTCCATTCAATCAGTGTCATTGTAAATACGCAGCGGAAAATTTTGCACCGCATGCTGAATATTCTGCAGTCAGTGGAACCATAGCTAGGCGGGTTGGTTGGAAAGTGGGCGTCCCACAAGCATGTGGTGCCATGGGACTGCGATGGGAAACCAGTGTCCCACACACAATCAAAGTGTTAATTTAAAATGATAAACTTATTTTAAAATGTAGACCTACCCACTTTCAGAACCTCACTTATGTTTGAAGTCAATAGATCAAAAACAATCTGGGAACATTGTGGTAGTACTTAAGGGCACAGCTCAGTTTGATGTAAAAACTGTCTTTATAGTTTCATCCAGGAAAATTATTGTCTCAAAATGAGAACAGTTTAAATGTAAGGTAAAAAATTAAAATATAAAAACACAGTGATTTATCTTTGTGCTGCCATTATGGCCAATCTACTTACAGAAAGAAGATCCATCGTGAAACTTGACTTGACTGGGCACAGCCCGAGGTAATAAGGCTGGCTACTTTCATGATTTACCCCTGAGCAAAATTTTAGCCCAGTCCAGTTAGTCCAGGAAAAATACACATAGAAACCATTTATTCTTCTACATACTCTCATCACTGATGTATCTGTTGCAGGAGGTTACAACCAGTTGAGGAGCCCCGCCTGTGATGACAGAGATGACACGTCGCCCCCGCCACACAACTCCCAGCCCCCGCCTCCACTGTACCTGCGCAACCCTTACCATCATAAAGACAGTACGTATCTATACAACATTAGATATACTATAGATACACTACACCTATATTGTTACCATTCATTATAGATATTATGGAAGTTACTGGAAACATCATGATTATTCATTCAGGTTGCAACATTTGTCCTTGCAACCCTTGTAAATTTAATGGTTTCTGTTCCTTGTTTGTGCTCTATAGTGCAGTATTGACCTACTGATTTTGATTTTAACCTTGGTTTAGTAAAGATAACTATCTGTACCCTACTAGTAAAACAGTGTAAAAGTAAAAACTTAAGGAGAGTTGTCCAGGACATGATTTTTCTAGGATGGCTAGTGTCGCTGATAATAGGCTACCATTTGAAAAATGTGGCTTGTGAGCACTCCAAACGTGGAATAGAGCGATTCTTGTAATCAGCCTGAAGGAGGGGTTGACCAAATATCCTGTCTATTTCTAAACATTTAGTGTTCAACAGACTTAAACCGACAGATGTCGCATTGAATTAAAAACGTGAGGAGACACTCACTATCTTTTCGACCAAATGAATGATTTGTAAAAATATTGTAAAATATTTGATTTACAACCTTCTGAATAAGCTTAAGATAGTAAAACATAAAATGAACAGTTTTCATAAAATTATACACCTTGAATTGTTTGATACACTCAAAAACTACTGAACCGACTGGACTCAAATTGGACAAAAATAAAGATACCACTCCGAGGATACATATAGAACTATTCCCCCTTCGATATTAAACTAGGACTCTGCCTGTGGGGCTTTCAAAATTCTGAGGTGAGAGATTTAAAAGTAAATATTGATTGGTCTCCATGGTAACAAAGTTCAATCTCACAAAGTTTAAATGTAAACAAGCAGACTGTCAATTATTGAATTAATTTTGATTTCACATTTTCACACAGCTGGTTCAAACATATTAATTACTGCACAGATATAAGAACAGAAAGGGTATGGATCATTAACATAAAAAAATGATGTCACTAGCCCGAATTTAAACATAATTTAACATTACCTACTTAAAATGGAACTGTCAAAACATATGTTAATGTCATTAGTATAAGATTCCTTCAGTTAGGTCATTTGTTTATGTTTATGATCTATACTGAGACTATTCTGATATTTTTGAATATTTTACAGGGAATAAGTCAGACTCTTACCCTGAGTTTTATGAGAATTATTTTTAACCCTCCGAGTGTCCATAGTTTAGGCCTTAATGTCCGCCTATTTTTGGCGCATTTGCAAGGTTTTTTTAAAACGGATCTGAGAAGCTTAAAACAATGTTAATTCTACTGTTCTATATACCATTTTGTTTGGAAAATCATGGGCTTCAATATCATACATAAAACATAAGGAATATTTGTTTCAAAAATTTTTTTTAGGTAAAAAAAATATTTTTGAAAAATTGAAAAAAACAATAAGTTTGTGCTCAATGAAATTGTATAAATTATAGGCCTATAAATATTTGAAAATAGCCACTTTGTTCTAAATTTTATGACGATTACAAATATATAATAATATAAGGAAGTAGATTTGCAAATAAATAAGTTATGAGCAAAAAACAGATTTCAGTACATAGCGTTTAGCTAAGAATGCATAGCCTAACCATAGCTAGGAATCTGGCTGATAATTTACATCAATATCACTACCTACTTCTTCAGGATCATCAACCAGCCCTTCAAAATCACTTAAATCTTCTTATAATGCACCACGTATATACTTTTGATTTTTAACACTAAAACAATGATAAACGTAATAAAACACATCAGTCATCGGTCCGAGGTTAACCAAGCTGTTTACAAATACTCACGTCAGCTGTCTGCTACAATATTTTTGGAACTAAAATGAATAGCGCTTTGAAACGGACCTCTGGAGAAAGCTTAGAATCTAACAAAAAGAACGATACCTAACTCGATCCAGTTCAATCCGATTCAGTCAGTCATAGAGCCTTCGCCGTAAACGATGTTCGTGTGTCGAAAAATCGACAAGTGACACTACACAAAGTGTGTCGTGAGTCGATTTTTCAACAAGTCACGCTCGGAGGGTTTAACTAGTGTACATGTTGCTCGAATTCGAGCAATTGCAAAGTATTATAGGAGTTATTTCAAAACGAATAACAGTCATATTTAAAATAAGTTTAAAAGAGTCAACTCAAAGATTACTGGTATTTAGACCATGTTTATTTTCGTAATTGATAAACCTAAAGCATTCTGGCTGGTTTTCTCCTTCTAAAAATGCCTCGCTATACAGGCAACACAGGTCATTGATAGAGGGCCAATTGAGAACAAAAAGTCGTTTTGGGGTAGTGTTAGGGTGCATTTGTAACCTAATAGTTGAGATTGTGATTGTCCAGGGTCAGGTGCTGACTGTGATGAGTTAAGCCTATTACCCGCCACTGTTCTGTAGCTGCGGTCGTTATCACGATTACGCCTCCTGTCTATGTTTCGTTGTCGTCGCGTCGGAGGCATTTAAAAGAAAAAAACAACAAATAAACAAATTATAGCTACACAAAACAACGATAAATGCACAAATTTCAGTTACAATCATGCTAACTCGATCCGTCATAGCGATACAAAACAACGTTAAATACACAAATTTAAGATACAACCATTAACACGATCTGTCTTGGGGGTTATGTTTACACAAACTCAAATAGTAAATAAATGTACTCAATGCGTTTCATTGAATTGAAAAATAAATGACAGCAATTAAATTATACAGCTGATCAAAATGTAAACAATTGTGTTCTTCATAAGGATAACATGGGAACTTTCAAAGCCAGGGTGTATACCAACCGGGAAAACCGGGAGAACCGGGAAATAACCTTGAATTTGAAGGGACCTGGAAAAAACCGGGAAAAAGCCGGGATTTTTGGACCGATTCCGGGATTTTTATTTTAGCCCCGGTAGAAGATTGTAGATGTAAAATGCGTCTTGCCGCGATTGCGGGCGACGACGATGACGTTTTCGTGACCGCGGGAGACAACGATGACGTTTCCGTGACCGCGGGAGACGACGATGACGTTTCCGTGACCGCGGGAGACGACGATGACCTTTCCGTGACCGCGGGAGACGACGATGACGTTTCCGTGACCGCGGGAGACGACGATGACGTTTCCGTGACCGCGGGCGACGACGATGACGTTTCCGTGACCGCGGGAGACAACGATGACGTTTCCGTGACCGCGGGAGACGACGATGACGTTTCCGTGACCGCGGGAGACGACGATGACCTTTCCGTGACCGCGGGAGACGACGATGACGTTTCTGTGACCGCGGGAGACGACGATAACGTTTCCGTGATCGCGGGAGACGACGATGACGTTTCCGTGACCGCGGGAGACGACGATTACGTTTCCGTGACCGCGGGAGACGACGATGACGTTTACGTGACCGTGGGAGACGACGATGACGTTTCCGTGACCGCGGGATCATCGATGATGTATACACTGCCGCGGGAAATATCCATGATTTTGCCGAAATCGCGGACGACGACGATGACGTTTCCTTGACCGCGGGTGACGACGATGATTATGTCTATACAGCCGCAGATGTTTATGATTTTGCCGAGATCGCGGACGCCGGCGATGACGTTTCTATATCTGCGAGAGGCAATGATGATGTCTACACGGCCGCGGAAGATTTTCGTGATTTGCCGTGACCACGAAAGACGACGATGATGATTTCTACACGGCCGCGTGATATGCTCATGATTTTGCCGTGATTGCGGCCGACGACGATGACGTTTCCGTGACCGCGGGAAACAACGATGACGTTTCCGTGACCGCGGGAGACGACGATGATGTAGACACGGCCGCGGGAAATATTCATGATTTTACCGAGATTGCGGACGATGACGTTTCCGTGACTGCGGGAGGCTATGATGATGTCTACACGGCCGCGGAAAATATTCGTGATTTGCCGTGACCGCGAAAGACGACGATGATTATGTCTACACGGCCGAAGATAGATGTTCATGATTAAGCCGCGATCGCGGACGACGACGATGACGTTTACGTGACCGCGGGATCAACGATGATGTTTACACTGCCGCGGGAAATATTCATGATTTTGCCGAGATCGCGCACGACAACGATGACGTTCCCGTGACCGCGGGAGTCAATGATGGTGTCTACACGGCCTCGGAACATTTTCGTTTTTGCCGTGATCGCGGTCGATGACGATGACGTTTACGTGACCGTGGTAGTCAATGATGATGTCCACACGGCCGCGGTGGATTTTCATGATTTTGCCGCGATTGTGGATGACGATGATTACGTTTCCGTGATCGCGAGTGAAAATGTATACATACCGCGGGAGATGTCCAGGATTTTTCTATGATAACGTAAGACTGTGATGAGGTTTTCGTCACCGTGGGAAGCGACCACACAACCGCAGGAAATATTCAGGATTTTGCCGCCGTTGATAATGTGTTCATAAAAAATGAAGATAATATTCGTGATTTTGCTGCTATCGAGAGAGACGATGTTTCGGTGGACTTAAGTAATGATGATATTGAAAATTATTACTATAATAAGGATTATTACTTTTTCAACACTAGCTCACTGGACTTTGAAACAAATTTGATGTAAGTTTATATTGTATACTTAAGCTGCAAGTCTTAAATTGATTATTGTTTAAGTGGAACCAAACAAATACGCGGGAACCTGGAAAAACTTCGAAAAACCATGAAAAAACCTGGAAAAAACCTGGAATTTCACTTTAATAAAATAGTATACACCCTGAAAGCCACTGGAGCAGAGCCCAAGAGAATTTTTCAAATATGTAAGGCCAGTTTGCAAATCTACGCGACACGCTCTTTCCAATGAGATGTCAATGGATAAAATCGGTTGAGAAATGGTGGAGGAGTTCAACCGACAAAGTTTCATGTAGTGTATTAATTATATAGATACATTTTTGTGTAAATAGTAATAAGATACCCCTGATGCAGCAAACCTGCAGACTAAGCAAATTTTTCATTTGCCTGATTATGATTTCAGAAAAATAAGTTAGAAAAATACACTTTTGACAGGTTTGGAACTATTGTGATAGCTTTTTGTTTATAGTACATTTCTGCACTAAAATCAGAAACCTACATTTTACTACTGGAATCAAACTTCCTATAGACACAGAAAGAACCTTATGTTCGAATATGTAGTAGGTGGTCTAGACAACAGGTTAATTTTGTGAACATTTTGTATCTCCTGGACCAGAAATAACGTGGTATTTAGGATATCGTCGTGTCTAGTAGGTGGTTTGTACACAAACCATTCAACATGTAGCGTGTGCACAGTAAAGGCTGAAAGCACCGACAACCAATAAATATAATTATTGATGTTATTAATATTAATACAGTTGCTCTCGATAGTCCGACACTTAACAGTCCGACATGCTCGGTAGTCCGACGCTGCGGCAAACTACAGTAGACAGGTGTCTAGACTGACATCGGTCTAGGCGTCTCACGTGTTTCCGGTAGCTGGTTCCAGTGTTCAGTAGCGAAGTGACTCGTGCATACGTACTGTACTTTTGGTGATCAAGTGACAGTTTACCTTCAGTGTTTTTAGTGTTCGAGTTTTGTTAAGTGTTGTGTGATGGCGAGCACAAGTGGAACCAATAAACGTAAGCATAAAACATTAACTCTTCCCGAAAAATGGGAAATTATTAAGAGGTATGACCGTGGTGAAACTCCCACGGCTATTTCTAAGGTTTATGACATCGGGCGACCTACCGTTTATGACATTGTGAAAAATAGGGAAAAAATAGAACATTTTATAAAATGTGTTGAAGACGATTCTAAGAGAAAAACACTTAAAATGAGCGAATATCCCCAAGTTGAGGAAGCTCTTTATGCGTGGTTTAAACAGCAAAGAAACAGACATGCCCCGATTTCTGGGGATATTTTAAAAGAGGAAGCACGGTTTTTTTATCGTGAAATCATCAAAAAAGATGATTTTCGTGCCAGCGATGGCTGGTTTGAAAATTTCAAAAAGCGACACGGTATTCGTTTCTTACAGATGAGTGGAGAGAAACTATCTGCCGATGTGACAGAAATTTCTAACTTTATTGAGACCCTTCTGGGATCGTCAACGCGCTGGGAGTCATATGTTAAAACTGCTAGCTGTCGGTAAAAGTAAGAACCCCCGGGCATTTAAGAACGTCAATATGGATTCCCTTCCAGTTGTTTACATGAATCAAAGCCGAGCTTGGGTAACTCAAGACGTTTTCAATGACTAGTTTTTCAACCATTTTGTCCCAGAGGTAAAACAACACTTAAAGAGTAAAAGTCTGCCTATAAAGGCTCTTTTACTGTTAGATAATGCTCCCGGACATCCGGACATGGAGGGATTAAAAGTGAAGACAACTGGTGGTTACATAGAGGCCATGTATTTGCCAAAAAATACAACTGCTCTGATTCAACCAATGGATCAAAATGTTATCAAGACAATGAAGGCACATTATAAGAAGCGCCTACTTATGGATATCGTCTGTCAACCTGACGCAGACATCACATCACTATTGAAAAAATTTAACATCAAGGATGCCATTTTAAATGCAGCATTTGCATGGCAACAAGTCAAACCTGAAACTCTAATTAAGTCATGGAAAAATGTTTGGCCAGAAAACTCACTCCTCCAAAATAACGACGATGGAAATGACAATGGTCAAGATGACAACGGAGTTGTGGAGGACACACTAACACTTTGCGATGATATTAACGTTTCGCAAGAATCTTCAGAAGACCTAATAAGATGGGTATTAGACGACAACCTGTGTGCTGACCTAACAGATGAAGATATAGTACAGGAAGTCATATCTAATGAACAAGACGACACAATTGAGGAGGCCGTGGAGGCAAAATACACAATCAGCTGTGACGAAGCTATGTTGGCTGCAAACACTTTGATTCGCTGGTGTGAAGAGCGTGGACTTGACTTGGACAACGTGTTAATGTTGAGACACATTCAAGAAAATGCAATGACTGACTGTTTGCGTAAAAAGAAACAAAAGACTATCACAGATTTTTTCAACCCGTAAATGTGTAGGCCTACACCGTAGTTACAGTACAGTAATTACAATGTTGTAATGTATTTAGAAAAAACGGAGCACTAGCCTACATTGTATTTTAGTTTTGATTTATACTGTACTGATTTTTGTATTTTGATATGCAATAAATCTTTCTTTTTTGTAATATATAATGCCTAAGTTGATTAGTTTGTACCTATAACAGTTAAATAGTCCGTGATATGTATTAAAAACTGGTTTTTCTTAACGTATGCAGTTAAATTCAGTGAAATAAAGCTAACCTTTGGTAATCCGACGTTTTTGGTAATCCGACACCCCCCCGGTCCCGTAACTGTCGGATTATCGAGATCCAACTGTATATTAAGTATATTAATATGTTGCTCGAATTCGAGCAATTGCAAAGTATTACGGGCGTTATTTCAAAGCGAATAACAGTCATAATTTCCGATGACTTAAAAGAGTCAACTCAAAGATAATGTAATCAATCACTCCACTCCAGTTATCAAAACTGAAAACAAACGCTCTTGTGTGTATCATGTGTTTACTATGAACAGCTGTAATTAATACAAATTATTCGTCCGTTTAAGTAAACAAAATCTTTTATCCATAAGAATTACGTTGAGATTTTGATGGCCTGTGGGGCAAATCCTGAGGGCTTTTATTACAGGAATTGATGAAAGGGGGCATCTACACAAACAATACTTAATTTTGACACATCGTTTTTAAAAATCTGTCCATTATTAACGGAGGAGTAGTGTTTCGTAGAAATTGCCTTCACGTATCGTATATAAAGATTTTTATACACAAAAGTACAAATCCAGTCATTTAGACTGCTATGCTTGCTCCCACGGGTTAATCACACTAACCAAAAATACTCCTATTAAGAAAATGTTATGTTATTAATTGAGAAGGGGACAAACCTGGATGTATTTCAACTTTAATATGAGTAAATAAAGTGAGATGCACTTTTTAGCTTTGATACTGATTAAGACAGATGATTTTTCAGCCAGAATAATGTGTTTTTGCCCAATGATTAAATGATGCCCAAATGATTGCCCAATTGATTGGGTCCAGTTTCATTAAGTACTAACTCTTTCCTCTTGAGTACTTAGCCTGTATGATCTGTTGCAGGTGGGTACTCGGGGCACGGGTTACCAGAGAACAGTTCGATGCTGGGCGGAGGCGGTGGTGGGACGGGGGGAGGGACCAATGAGGGTAATGCTAGTGATGAGGTGACACCTTCGTACACAAGCACAGTTCCTCCCCCCCAGTACGAGGCAGACAGCTCGGAGTACCACAGTCTAGACCCGCACCAGTCGCCTTACATGGAAAGTAGTCCTGAACTGTACTCAGGCCACCCACCACCACCACTGTTTGAACACAAGTATCACCACTTCACCAGTCAGTACGCCAAGACCTACCCCCATCCCACTAGAGGTAAGCAATCCCAACAAGCTCAACATTTTGTTTGTACTAATCCTCATGTACGCATAATATCTGTACATGCCTATGAGCACAAAAACATCTCTCATTCATTCAAACCGACCTGGAAATAATTGTGTGAACATTTTGTATCTCCTGGACCAGAAATAACGTGGTATTTAGTAAAAAGAAACAATTTAGTCACTCGTTTATTGTTGGTTTATCGACATATTCAATTAAACTATAATGTCTACCATGTTGTTCTCGTGTGGAATGAACTAGTTATTAATGGAGATTACTTGTTTATGGATTTTATATTCAAAACATTTTTTGTTTGTTCAAGGTAGGATTCCTTAGTCTCTTATAGAATTATAGAGATAAGGAGGGAAGGCCTTTTTTAGTACCATAATAAGTTGCACACCACAACTAAGTATAGTTTCCTTTTTGATTTTTAGATGCATGTGTTATCATCAGTTGATAAAGCGTCTGATCGTTTGTTGTCAATCCACAATTGTTTGCGACACAATGACCTGATACATATTCATTTCTTAGCTGTATAACCTTTGTTCTAATGTATTCAGGTCAATTTCCATTTGGTTACTGCTAACACGTATGACTTTCCATGTCATTTGTATTGTAACTGTATACAAACAAGTTAATATTGCAATATTTGTTTCTTCACTCTCATTCATTATAAACGCAAATACACAAATCTAATGATGACTTTTCTGAATCATCAATGAGAATTAATTCTAGGGTACAAAACAAGAACCAGAAAAAAATATTTCAAGACATTTAGTTTAGTTGTTTTTCTCTCTTCAGGTTATCCGTTTCAAAACCTAAATGTGCCGTTGGTGTCAATTATTGTGAAAGTACAAGGATCCATTCATATCAGATTTGTTTAGCTGTATGACTGATGTTTGTTTGTTTGCAGGGAGGTACGGACCATTCGAAGGCTATGGAGACAGTTCACCGTACCCAGCATATGACAACTCCCCGTTCCAGACAGTGCCTGGCAGCATGTGTGAGGCTGGGTGGGGAGACATGGGTAACAGCAGTGGTCATCCTGCCTTGCATCATCCTGCCTTCCTACACAGAGAGTCTCATCATTCTCACACATCACTGCCACTACCTAGCGGAGGAGACAGTAAGGCTCTACTGCACGCTGCCGGCTACAGTGGCCAAGACCAACTAGGTAACTGGCTACAACTCGAATATGTAGTTCTATCCTTAGTTAATGACCATATCTTGTGTAGGTTCGGTTATAATTGAATTATTTGGTTGGGTTTAACTACAAGGGTTTTATCTTTCAGACTAACAATCATATTCATTGAAATTAAGTGAGAAAATCAATACTTTAATACTATTCAAATTCCATGTTGCAGGGACATTTATACTTCATAAGCATGATTGTATAATTGAACAGAACACCTGTATTCCAATTAAAATACCTATGTTGTTTCCCAGGTGGAGGTCCTTGCTTCACAGGCTCTGGACCCATCCAACTGTGGCAGTTCCTCTTAGAGCTACTCACAGACAAGACGTGTCAAGGCTTCATCTCCTGGACGGGCGACGGCTGGGAGTTTAAACTGACTGACCCAGACGAAGTTGCGCGTCGATGGGGCGTGCGCAAAAACAAGCCCAAGATGAACTACGAGAAGCTCAGTCGAGGACTGCGCTACTACTACGACAAGAACATTATCCACAAGACTGCGGGGAAACGATATGTCTACCGTTTCGTCTGTGATCTTCAGGGCATGCTCGGGTGAGTAGAGAATGCCAATATTTTTGTTAACAAATGGTTCTAAAAATATACTATTCAAATAATGTTCAACTTATCTATAATTTCTTTGCCTTTTCTGATCACAAAGTTGACTATGGTGTATGAGGTTGAGTATGTTTTATTTTATTGATTACCATCTTGTATGGCTTTGAAGGAGGCAGATCTTTGATACAGTAACAGTATCTCCCACAGTAGTTTGTAATGACGGATACTCATGTTGCAGGTACAGTCCAGAACAGCTACATGACATGGTAGACCTCAAGCTGGAGAAGAAGGACGATGACTGAGCCAATCAAACAAGATCTCTGTACATATGTTGCCACGCTCTCTCACTGTATAGGACAGAAGTGAACATTTGAGGACTACGTTATAACTCCGATTGTGTTTGTGTTATCGTTAACTACCAAATAGTGTAAATCGACCGTAGCAGACCCAAGTGCCTTGTACATAATAGAGACTTGTAAGTAACTAAACGAATCGAGATATATTTTGTGATTTTATATCGCTATATTATGTAATGAATTTAGATATTATCGGTTAATATTTAAGTTTTATTGTTAAGATTTGTTTTATTGTTGTTCTATAGTTGAAAACCTGTAGAAGACGAGTAATAGATATAACAATGGTTTCTTCAATTTAGTTCTTGTTTCACAAATGATTAAGTTAGTAGATAATTATTTTAATTTGTCAAAAATAATCGTAAATTACTATTACTCAGTTTTATAATAACTGCAATAAGTAATCTTTTACATTTGATGTGTGGAAAAGAGCTTATATATCTGTGATAATATTTAAAATTAAAAACAACACTGCATCTTGCTTTTAGAATACTAGAAACTGTTATACTACAGGGTTTTCTCTTGAAAAATTCAAAGAAATATTCATTGATACTGTTAATGTATCAAATTAAGCTTTACTAATCGCTTTACATATTTCAAATCTGTCGTACAGTAACAAATTTATAGGTGCAGTTTTAAAAGAACTCAGAAGACTGCAAAATGTGCTTTTAGCAGTCTATAGCTCATTTGTTAGTTATTAATATAATTTTTGTGAACTTTACTATTCAACACTTTAAACATGTGCTTTTTATTGAAATTGTTTTAATAAATAATCTGTTTTCTTCTGTTCTCACTATTTAGATCAATGAAAAATTCCCCATTGACAGTTGATTTAAATGTTTATGTATCATATAATGTTAAACTTACAACAACCATACTAGATCATTGTATGTACTCCTACTTGAAATTTGTTATAATAATTAACTTAACCAACCCTTTTTCCTCATGAAGTATTGCATCGGTAATTGTGTTGAACACGGTGAACCTTAATCGAGAAATATATTTATTTGATATAACAAGGAGGAATATTTTAACAGAAGGATAAAAATTGTGTTTCCATATCTTGTTTTGTTATTAATTGTGTTATCGTGTTAAGCTTACTTCAGGTGTTATTCATTGCTTTCTAGTTTTAGGGTAATGACAATAAAGTCTCATATTTGAGATCTCACCTACCATTGTGATCTTCCTGTTTCATTGAGCTAACTGCTTGTGTAGAGAACTTCACTCAGTGACCACAAAGGTGTTCAGTAATGTAATAAACAACTAACAGGATAGTGAAAGCTAGATAGGCTTTTCAAAGGTTTTGTCATCAAAAGACAGTTGTGAAAAACAAATATCATGCTCAGAACTTATTTATATCAGGTTTTTCCTAGCTTGATTTTCGATGCCTATCACCTTTGCTGCACACATAGAAAAAAACAGATGTGAAAGTATATGGCCACTATATTATTCTGTCCATAAACTTCCACATTTGCCAAACATAAATTTACAGTTTTCTGTGTGTTCAGCAAATGTAGATAGTGAATAACTGTGCAGTACCAAGTTGATATTAATAGTAAGCGTGATTGGTCTTAAAGTATATGAACACAGTATAACTTTAAAATCATTCTTGTGTATTTTTAACTTGATTATTTGTTTATTAAAAAAAATTAATTTCATTCTAGTGAGGATTTATCTTTATCAGATTTTACCTTTGTGATTTACTGTAACGTCTGCTCAAACAAAATATTGAACTAGTATTTTATCTCAGGTTTGTATGATTATTTTTAAAGTGTTCATGATCAATATTGAAAAGTTGAAATAAAAAGATAATCATAAAATTTTGTACGTCCATTTTCAATTAAAATACAATTTTAAAATATTAGTAAATTTGGAAAACTAACAAACGTTAGAATGTCTGTTAGTTAGAGGAAGATTTGCTCAGAATAAAGGTAGATGTTGCAATGTATTCGGTATGATTTGAAATCTCAAAGAAGCTAGTTAGTGATAAATCTAGTGCTTTGGTCCTTTATACTTTCTATGTATTCAAAAATTAAGTGACAACAAATTTTCCAATATAATAATAAGCCTTTTATTAATAAGTGGTTGCATAGTCATCCAATTACTCTAGTTGTTTTTATAAATATGTATTTATTGAGTAAAAGGTGAAAAGCCAAATTTACTGCTTTATAAACCAAAGGAAGTGTATTTTGAATAAACTTATGTAGTAACTGATGTTATTCAAGTTCAAGTGATATTTGTATAGTAAATAGCAATCAGTTCTTTATACAGTTTTCTTATGACTTACATCTGTGTCAATATAATATTAATTTTTATACTATTGTTTTATTTGTATCCTCTTTTCTATAAATCTGGATCAATCAGTGTGTCTGAAAAGCCCTAATGTAAAAGAACACAGACATGACAATTTTTAAGGAGGTAAACTGGTATCTACTTCCAAGAGTTACAGTCCACACCACAACCACACTAGACATATTGTCCACACTGAACAAATTGTTTGGCAAACAAATTCGCTGAAACAATTTGTTGGTTGTTATAAAGTAAGATACAGAGGATAATACAAGCTTAAGGGACAACTGTGCGCTTTTAGATGTGGTATGGTAGGGCGGAAATATACATTTACTGAACAAAGAAGAGCCTGAACGTTGATGGCCACATAGCATTTTTGTACAGCAGTTGTAGTGCACAGGGTCTTACTGAGTGAGCGGTCAACGCTATAGTACGTGTTTGCGAGGGGGAAAGGAGAGTAGAAGGGACGGCAAATAGAATCTGCTTTAGACACCACTAGTGTACCACAGGGGGGGGGGGCATGTCCCCCGAGAGCAAGAGAAAATTTGCATGAAACGTATTTCATAACCATTTATTATTATAATCAGCTTTGTGCTGATACCTAAAGGAAAATCTCGGCACCATCGGTTTTTAGGACAAGTATCTGTGCAAAAAATCAACGTTAAAATTTGAGTATGGTACCAGGATTTCAATACCAACAGAACAGGAACCTATAAGAGCCCACGTTTTGACGAGGACGCCAAACCATACACACAGCGATTGTTACTTTCATTATTTATTTATTTTTTTTAGTACATTAGGTATAAGTGATGTGTCTAAGGCCAAAACTCAAAACCAACATTAGAAAAGAGGCCACGAGATTCACGGGAACATCCCTTAAGCAACTGTTGCGGTCACAGCAACATAGTTTTGTATTTCCCGCGATCGCGATTTTCTTCTTTTCGATACAGTACCTTATTAGGTACTGTTTAATTTATGTTTATTAACATAGCGCATAAAATATTCATGTGCTCTATGGTAATAAATGGACAAGACACACTTGGCGAGAGTCTAATGACAATTAACTAGCTTTTGTTTGGTCTTCCAAATTCGACAACAATTCCCATTGTTTCCAGTATCGAGATCAGCTCGACTTTCAGGTGACCAGGGACCTCATAAGTTTATTTGATTTTGATTTACAATTAATTATTACAAATTACAATATCTGAAAACAATATAATATTCAGTAAAAATATTGTCTAACTGCTTTCACAGATGCATCCGTAATACCGTAAATTGATAAAAATAGACGGATCTTTGTATGTAAGTAGGCAAGATATACTATTCATTTTTGGATCTAAATTGAAGTTTGTGTGTGTAATCTTTAAAAAGGCGAATATAAAAGTGAGATTTACATTATATGAACTGGCCACATATTACCAAAAGCCCAATAGCCTATCAATACCAACTATCGTCGACTGAGGACAGCAGTGGCAGTATTCTTCTGACCGGTGAGTAACATGGTGGCAGCGGTGGTGCCCCAAGCCTCTTTATAAAAGAGACTGAAAAGAAACCAAGCGAAGCGTCATCACCATTATTCAGTGCGCGTCGGTGACCATAAACCTGCAAAAGTTTGCAGTTTTGCAAAAATTCGAAATTTTACTTTTTTAACTGTGGGAAGTGTCTAAAATAAGTTTATTTTCGGTCTAGAAATTAAGTATTTAAATTGTTTAATCCAGTTTAAAGTCATATACCTTGTAAATATATGCAGTTATTCATTATCAACCGATTAGCCAGCAAGATTGTCGTAGCCAGTGGCGTACCGACGGGGGGGCGGTCCGCCCCAGGCCCCAAACCGACGTAGGCCCCCAAATCAGGGCCGAATTCCCCCAGCGGCGGACATGGTGCGGCGATTGCCGAGGGCCTCTCATCAGCCCAGGAAGGGGCCTCACTTGGGTTTAAAAAAACATATTTTATTTTGGAAAATAAATTTTGCTGTTTGAATTTAATAATCTGTTCTCTCAATCGCCGCAGGCGTCTGTAAAGATTGCGCGATCGAAAATCACGACTCCCAGGGATCGCGGAAGGCGACAATTAAGGTCTCGCAACCGCAAAAGATGATCCGTGTTCACGATTTTGCCGCGATCGCGGGGGCCGTTAATGTTGTCTGCGCGTTCGCGGGAGATGTTAACGACTTCCGCATGTAGAATATATCCCTGCATCCGCAAAAGATGTTCACTATTCCACCTAAAACATAGGAATGATTTCTCCGCGGTCTCGGAGATAACCCGTGCGATCGCGGGAGACGGAGATTATGTCCCCGCAAACACGGACACTCACGATTTTGTCTTCACCGAGTACAATATCGTTCATTTATGCCCCGATTGCAGAAGTCGTTTGGACCGATTATATTACAAAATATAATAAAGATAATATAATTATATATTTTATACAAAACTAGTAGGCCTCTTCAAAAAAAACGATAAAACAAAAGAAGTGACAGAAAAAACCCGATGTGTGTCTGACTTCTTGTTGTGCTCGTGCTCATTATGAATCTCCAACTCATAAAAACGTAAAATGTTAAAAGCTTAAAGGAAAATTTAATTTAGTATCATTCAATTTTTCTTAAAATAAAAAAAAAATAGGTTACTTTTAAAATAGTTGAAGTAAGCTCATTAATCAGTGATACAAAATACATTAAAAGTATATTTCTTTTTAGTTCTAATCTCTGTTTAGGGTTACTTTTTAATAAACACCATGGTACCTGTTATGAACATATGTAGTTGTTACCATAGCAACCAAAATGTTTATTATCAAATGCTGTTTACTATTCTATTCTGATCTTAAATATAACACAGTTACTTCTATTTCAACACTCTAGTCGGGGGGCAAACTGTATTCCGTGGGATTTTTTGTGAAGGGAATGTGTGACTATGTGGAATCTCTTTATTATATGTCACATAATGGTGTAGTACCGGGTGTTTACCCTCAAATTGCGGGGTTTGGTTTTTATGACGTCGTAAATCCAAGATGGCCGCCATGTGTGACATCTATTCATTAAATTAATAATAACTCTTTTCAGAGTAAAATAATCGAATTTTAATTTACACCATTGAATTCAGCTCAAAAAATCAAACAATTTGGTGTTTTGAATCATTGCTCTATGACCATTGGTTACCGAGATATTGAAGGCGGAAAACACAGAACATTGTCCCCATGTTATCCTTATGGGGAAAAAATAAAATTGTATATATAGCTTATTACTCAGCATATCTTAATAATAATTGGTATGTGGCTTCATTTAGTAGAGATCTACTTGATTATGGCCTAAAATCCCCCATTTTTACATTTCCGTGGCAGCAAACCTGCATACTAACTGCCAATGTTATTCTTATGGACAATTTTTGCAAGCTTTTCATGAACATACTTTGAGAAATGATGATGTGTGGCTCCATTTTAATTATTTATTGAAGCATTTGTAATTCGTTGAGTATACAGGTCTGCTGCTACGAGTAAACAAATTACAGGTATTAGAAAATAAAATAAATTAGACTATAGCTGTGAGGCATATGTAATTTTGTAGGATTTTCAATTAAGCAATTGTATGATTGTTGGCGATAGATAGGTGATGACATGTAGAACCGTGTATTACCGAGTATTTTGTCTGAAAGTGTGGCCAAGCTGGTGTTTTTGGCCGCCATCTTGGATCCGCCATATTGGATGTTAATAACTTTTTTATACAATGCTAGTGTTGTGACACATCATTATGAACTAAATTTTCACGCTGATTTCAATGCTGAAATATGTTTTTAAATATATTTTTTTCGTTTGGAAGATATATTCAAATAAAAACTCTCCCCCATACATTTCTTACGGACGTTTCGTACTTTGAACATTTTTAAGATTATTTTTCTTATATCTCCAGTTCCTATTAACGCTTGCAGTTCGTTCTAGTCTAAAGATATTCAGTGGTGAGCTTTCATTTGAGCTATTGATCTTTAAATTCGGTTGAGTTAGAGCGTTAGAGTCGAGCTACGAACCCTAACACAATATTACACTTAACTTATTACAAATCTGTTTATTTTATTTATTTATTTGTTAACGGTTGCACCATTTTTACATGAATAATACAATAATCTTACATACGGAAGAAGCAGAAAAAAATCACAGGCCAGTACAAAAGTAGTGAAAAAAAAAACTGGAAAACAAGACTTCAATACAAGACATAAAAAGATAAATAACAACAATAAATAACAAACTATAATTAACAAACTATGAATAACAAACTATAAGTAACAACTATAAATAACAAACTATCTGAACAAGTTGACAAAACGAGATATTCGAAAAACAAAACCAGTATAGGAACAATAACAATGATGCAATGCAGTAGCCGAGTGAAACTTCAGTAAAGAGGCAGAACAAACGAAAAACAGATAAAGCATTCAGAAAAATAACAATATGATAAACTCTGTACAAGAACAAGATATAACAATGCAATAACAACAGGATAGACTATATTAACAAAAATAAATAACAATGCAATAAATAGAAAGTTTGGAAATATGCAAAGATTGATGCAGGAGTTCAGCCAAAAAAAAAAAAAAATCTGTTGTTATTAAAATATGTATATCTCGGGTTATTAGTACGTCACTAAGTTCTTCCTGGTCTCAAATTACTTGGTTAATGTTTGATTTTACATTTTATTAATCACTAAATGAAATCTGACTAAGTTATTTTAAAATGAGTCATGAACCATCATTTAACATTAATTTTTTTTATGTCCAAAACTTTCTTTGGTTAAAGACATACAGGGCTAGTCATCAGTGTTACAATTTTTAGACGTGGAACCTTTTAGTCTTATATGCCTCATCACACATCATTTACTTTGTACTTACACCAAACAAATGTTGTAACCCTGATGACCAGCCCTGTATGTCTTTAATTGCTTTAACCAAAGAAAAATTTCTAAATAAAAATAATTATTAATGTTAAATAAAGGCCCATGACTCATTTTCAATTAGTCAGATTTCATTTAGTGATTAATAACATTTTAAACCAGACATTTACTGAGTAATTTAAGACTAGAATGAACCTTTGCCGTATTAACAAACCGAGATATAAATCTTTTAATAAAACTGATTTGGAAAAAGTTAAATTTAATATTGTGTTGTGGTTCATAGCTCAACTCTAACTCGTCCGATTTTAATGATCGATAGCTTAAATAAAAGCCCTTACATCACTGAATACTTTAAGACTATAACGAATTGCAAGCGATAATAAGAACTGGATATATGAGAAAAATAATCAAAGTACGAAACGTCCGTAAAAGATGTATGGGGGGGGGAGTTTTCATTTCAATATATCTTCGAAACGAAAGACGATATTTACAAACGGTTTTCGGAATTGAAATTAGCGTAAACATTTATAGTTTATAATGATGAGTCACAACACCAGCATTACATTTAAAAAATTATATTAATATCAAATATGGTGGATCCAAGACGGCGGGCCAAAAACACCAGCTTGGCCACACTTTCAGACAAAACACCCGGTAGTACACGATTCTATATGGCACTAGCTATCTATCACCACCAATCATACAATCACACGAAATTACATATGACCCAGAACTATAGTCTATTTTATTTTATTTTATACCAATAATTTGTGATATTTTTTATAGCTACAATACCCCCGTAGCAGCTGACCTGTATACTCAACGAATTGCAAATGATTCAATAAATAATTAAAATGGAGCCACACATCATCATTTCTCAAAGTATGTTCATGAACAAGCATGCAAAAAATTGTCCATAAGAATAACATTGGAAGTTAGTATGCAGGTTTGCTGCCACGGAAATGTAAAAATGGGGGATTTTAGGCCATAATCAAGTAGATCTCTACTAAATGAAGCCACATACCAATTATTATTAAGATATGCTGAGTAATAAGCTAGATATACAATTTTATTTTTTCCCCATAAGGATAACATGGGGACAATGTTCTGTGTTTTCCGCCTTCAATATCTCGGTAACCAATGATCATAGAGCAATGATTCAAAACACCAAATTGTTTGATTTTTTGAGCTGAATTCAATGGTGTAAATTAAAATTCGATTATTTTACTCTGAAAAGAGTTATTATTAATTTAATGAATAGATGTCACACATGGCGGCCATCTTGGATTTACGACGTCATAAAAACCAAACCCCGCAATTTGAGGGTAAACACCCGGTACTACACCATTATGTGACATATAATAAAGAGATTCCACATAGTCACACATTCCCTTCACAAAAAATCCCACGGAAGCTGGATATGTGCAGTTTGCTCCTGGACTACTCTGTCTTTTATTATATTCTAATATTTCCACTCGAAAGTCATCTCAGTTGGCGACGATTTGGTAAAAAACTATTATCAATTCTTGTTTTATTCTATTACTTTCAAGATATTTTATTTTGTTAAACATTTCAACTTAAAATGAATGAAGAACAATTTGAAAGACTCATGAATGTTTTGGCTGCAGCTCTAGGTAATAAAACTTCAACTCCTCAGATCAATCCATTTGAACATTTTGATCCAAATAATGATAAATTCAAATCATATTTGGAACGTTTTGAAAATTATTGCAATTTGAAGAACATTAAAGAAGACAAGATGAAGGCTCAACTCCTGTGCTCATCCATTGGTAAGGAACATTACAATAATCTGACAACTCTTTTAGGCCCAGAAAATCCTGTAAAAGACCTTAATTTTTCAAAATTAATCGAACATTTCACGGTGATGTTGTCACCTACAGTATCTTATGTTGTTGCACAACACTATTTCCTCAGTGTTTCACAACAGTTGCATCAATCTATCTCTGATTTTGTCACAGTCCTGAAAGGTAACCTGAATGATTGTAATTTTTACACTTCTTGCAATGAATGTGAAAGTAAAATTTCAATTGCTGATGAATTTCTCCGCCCTCAATTTATTAGAGGACTAAAAGACAATTGGATACGTGAACAACTTTTACAAGACACTAATCTCAACAGTTTTGACTCACTCCTCAAGAAAGCAATTGTCCTAGAAGCTTCCCGCTATGAATCAAATTAAATTTGTAATCCTGTCACACAATCATCAAGTGAAAATGCAGATACACACAAAATTGATAGGCATTCAAGGTCTAAGACAAAGGAATATCAAAGTTTCAAGCAATTTAAGACACACAAATATGATGACCGCGGTTCCAATAGATCTCAATCACAACATTTCCATAACAAAAGCTTAAAAAGACACGTTGACTACAAAGCTTTGGGTATTGATGGACTTTGTTTCAAATGAGGTCGATCAAATTATCAGTCTAATGAATGCAAAATTAATCGGAACAATCTTAAATGTACTTCCTGTGGAAAACAAGGCCACGTTTCAAAAGTGTGTATAACGTCTCTACTAAAGAACTCTAAAACAAACACCCTGTTGTCTCACTACACAGAAGATGAATCCAGTCACCCAGATGAGTATGGAATCACACAAATCAACGATGTGGAAGATCTTTACATAGTAGTAGGACCAGACTCAGACAAATACATGGTTACAGTCACTATCAACAACAAGCCTCAAACATTTGAAGTAGACTCTGGTGCACGATTTTCCTTATTCTCAGAAACGGACTTTGATAAACTTGGACTTAAAGTGCCACTTCAACCAACTCCTATCTCATTTCGCTCCTACTCTGATGATATAATAAAACCTAAAGGTAAAGAAACTGTCTCAGTCTCTTACAATGCAAATTCACTAAATGCTGATTTATTTATAGTACCTGCAGGTCATTCTGCTTTGTTAGGACGAATTTGGATTCGTGGATTTGGAATTGAACTCAGTGAGGTAGACAACAGAAAGCAATTACCGATTAATACAGTTGATGTTAGTTTAGTACCGTCTCTAGAGGATATATTCGAAAAATACTCAGCAATTTTTGAAGAAAGAATCGGATGTGTTCCCAATGTTGAAGTCAAACTCCAACTCAGAGATAATGAGAAACCAGTATTTACTAGGGAACGTGATGTCCCTTTCGCATTACGAGAGAGAGTAGAAAAGGAACTTACAACCCTCGAGTTTCAAGGAATCATAACTCCAGTCGCATCAAGTGATTGGGGGTCACCATTGGTTGTTATCCCAAAGCCAGATGGAGGAGTCAGACTATGCGTAGATTACAAGTGTGGGGTTAATTCAAAACTTGTCTCATCTAACCACCCCATTCGACGCATTGATGATGTTCTACATAGTCTCCGCGGATCTAGATACTTCTGTAAGTTGGATCTTCATAAGGCTTATTTGCATCTAAAAGTCGATGAAGAGGGAAGTAAGATTCAAACAATATCAACCCATAAAGGAATGTTCAACATGAATCGTCTCAGTTTTGGAATAAAATCAGCCCCTTCTGAGTTTAATAGAATTTTGTCACAACTATTAAACGGATTATCAAAGGTAGAAGCATACTTTGATGATATCATTTGTCACGGTGAAACTCTGGAAGAGTGTATGAAGAACCTTATTGCATGTTTGGAATGTCTCAAGAAGAATGATCTACATCTTAACAGAACAAAATGTGTTTTCTTCAAGGAAAGTATTAATTACCTTGGACATGTGGTGTCATTCAATAAGATTCAAAAATGCCCTAAAAAGGTTGAAGCAGTTACTCAGATGCCTCGCCCTCGAAATGTTGATGAGTTAAGACGCTTTCTTGGCTTAGTTACATACTATGCAAAATTCATTCCTGACTTCTCTTCAAAAACACATCCGCTACGATGTTTGCTTCGAAAAGGAGAAAAATTCTTTTGGTCAGCTGCTGCTGAAGCCTCATTTCTGAATCTGAAATCTGAACTTTGTAGTGATACAGTTCTTATTCCTTTCGACCCATCAAAACCAGTTATTCTCACAACAGATGCTAGCCCAACTGGAATTGCTGCAATACTCAGTCATGATATCGATGGTCAAGAAAGACCAATTGCATATGCATCCAGAGCATTGACCCAGGCTGAAACCAATTACAGCCAACTTGATAGAGAAGCTCTAGCAATCATCTACGCAGTCACCCATTTCTATAATTACGTTTTTGGTAAAAAATTCACTCTTGTCACCCATAATGAACCATTGTCACATATCTTTCATCCAGGACGTGCCCTGCCACGAATGACATCATCTCGCTTATTGCGTTATTCTTCATTCCTCAGTGGTCTTGACTATACAGTTCGATGCAAGAAAGGGAGAGACAATGAAAACGTGGATTGTTTGTCTCGAAGCCCAGTTCAATCATCAATTTCATCTGAACTAACATTCGACAAAGAAATAAACACAATCAATGCAGAAACCTTACTTCAAATCTCCAGCACAGTGATAACGGCAGAAACGATAAAAGAAGAAACAGCAAAAGACCCTGAGCTTCAAGTTCTTTTGCATGAACTGAAAAATAGTCGCAAAGATAGCCCTTACATGATCTCAGACAACATACTTTTCCGATCAGATCGAGTCGTAATTCCCAAACGTCTTCAAAATCAAATTCTTAATGAGCTCCATGAATCACACCTCGGAATTACTAAAATGAAACAGCTTGCTAGAAGATATGTATATTGGGAAGGTATGGACAAACAAATAGAAAGACTAGTGAAAAGCTGTGAAGCTTGTGCTAAAGTTCGTTACAATCCACCAAAAGCTCCGGTACATCCGTGGGATCAGCCCGATGATAACTGAGAAAGAGTGCATATTGATTATGCCGGTCCATTGGATGGAAATTATTTCCTCATGTGTGTAGATGCTAAATCAAAGTGGGCAGAAGTTCGCATTCTTCAAAATGCTCCTTCCTCAGCAACGACGATGACACTACTTGAAAATATTTTCTCGGTTCATGGGTACCCCTCGTTCTTGGTCTCGGACAATGCCACTATATTCAAAAGTGAGGAATTTATCAACTACTCTAAAGAACGTGGGATTTTCCAAAAATTTACTGCCCCTAACCATCCTGCAACAAATGGCCTGGCGGAACGAAACATACAAACATTAAAGAGAAGACTTATTGCTGCTGCCGATGATCCAACCCCAATTACCACAAAGCTACAAAACATTACATTCAGATATCGAGCAACACCTTTGGCATCAGGCAAGACTCCAGCAGAGTTGTATTTGAACAGGAAGATTCGGATTAGACTTGCCACACTTCTCCCTAACCCAAAGGCAAAACTTCCATCAAAATCAATTGGGAAATAAAGACATATGGCAGTTTGGTACAGTCAAGAGAAAATTAGGTCAATACCATTACATTGTTGGATTGGATTCTGGACGAAGTTTAAAACGACACATAAATCAATTGATTTTGACTCTTGAATCCAAGAAGAAAGTTACCTTTACAACACAAAACAAACAAGATAGTTCTGTTGTTCCAAGAAGGATTCCTATTATAGACTGTCAAGCACCACCACAAGAGATCCAGAGTCCATCCAGAGTCTGAATCAAATACAAACAATCCAACAGAACTAGACGGTACGGGAATGTTGCTGAAAGTCAACAGTCCCGGAAGATCAAATAATTTATACTTGTGCCGCTAGGTCAAAAACTACAATGTTTGCAGTGTCTGTAGATCAAAAGTCCCAGTAAGTCAAATAGTACAGTCCGAGCTAAAAACGTGGTCTATGTTAAAGAAATTGACTTATTGGGAATTTGACCTAATGCAACAGCAGTTTTAATATAACGAAATACGGTAAAATACAAGTTTAGTTTCGCTGAGTCAACAGTGCCGGAAGATCAAAAGCAATAAAAGTGAACGTCGATTCAGTGTAAAGTAGACCTCCTGCAACGCTTACTACACCAACAAAACTCGCTTTTAGTTACTTCGTGTTTTGTCATAATTAGAATAGAGCTAAAATTATCATATTTGGTACATAGCTTATCTATTAATGCTTCTTGCCAACTGTTTGGTCAACACTGTAAATAGGTATAGTTTATGTAATAAAAAGCCTTTCGTCAAAATTTGTGGCATGAAATACACGCAAGGACGATCTGAAAGTTTCTGGTTATTATATACGCTTGTAAAAGGAGATCCATTTAATTTTAGAACTATTTTATGAGTTATAATGTAGTATACAAATAAACTGTGTAAATGTATTACGCCTCGGAAGAGTTGAAACCTGTCCAAACTATCATATATATTATTAAAACGTAAATGGGGTTTTTTCACATTCTGAATCAAGTTTTAATTTTTAAAAAGTCTAGCAGCCGACGCTTACTTTCTAAGCTAGCTTTTAGTACAATATAATTTGCTTAACATAACAGCTGTAAACATTCAGCATTTGTGACACAAATTCAGCATTTGGAAACAAATTTAAAGACATATTTAGAGTTGACATATTTATACTATGTGTAATGCTGACCATTGATACATTCAATTCTTAGGTATGAGGATGGCAGATTAATTAAATATGCATAGTAAAATTGTAGGATGTTCAAATTATTTTTTAAAGGAATCTTTTTAATCATTGATTTGTTTTAGTCCCATAAAATTTGTTTTAACTAACAGCTGGTTGAATGTAATGTTGTTCTATATAGGCCCCTAACTATTAGGTTTTTGGCGAATTTCCCATATAGGGAATAAGCTATTACCGTAGTAGTAACACCTGGACCCGCGGGACCGATTTAATTTTTCGTTTTGAGGTCCCTAGAGGCCAAAAACACCATACGTTCAAATTCATACATACAGGGTGATCAACTCAAGGAGGCCACCATTGGGAAATCGGAAACGGTAAGAATTAGAGAAAACTTTAAATGGGGCACATTCCTTTATTTTTCGTGGCAGTTAAAAATATGATTTTAGTTTTTTTATCATTTTTTTTTATAGAATATGCAATTTAAAAACTTTTTTAGCCTTGACATTTTTTTGATAAACCCACTCGTTTAGGAGTAAAGCCTTTGGAAAAATGACTTCCGGTGTACATTTTACATCATGTAGCTCCTAAACGAGTAAGTTTAGAGCAAAATTGGAAACAGTAAATTAGTCTTAGAATTGCATCTACATTCCTTAAAGACTATAAAATAAAAAGTTTTCCACTTTTCAAGTTTGCCGCCAGTTTTTAAATAATATAATTCACATTTTTAATTAATTTTATGGTCTTTTTGGAATGTGGCTGCAATTGTAAGACTTTTTTACTCTTCCCTTTTTTGCTATAAACTTACTTGTTTAGGAGCTACATGATGTAAAATGTACACCGGAAGTCATTTTTCCATAGGCTGTAACTCCTAAACGAGTGGGTTTATCGAAAAAATGTCAATTGTAAACAAGTTGTCAAATTGCCTATTCTATCCGAAAACATGATAAAATATAGGGTGTTCTATAAGAAATTTCAAATTTCAAAAGGCTGAATAAAAAGGAAAACTAAAATAATATTTTTAACTGCCACAAAAATAAAGGAATGTCCCCCATTTTAAGTTTTCTCTAATTCTTACTGTTTCCGATATCCCAATGGTGGCCTCCTTGAGTTGATCACCCTGTATAGCCTATATTTATTTATTTATATATTTTTCCCGGGAGGAACCCCAGCACCCCCTCCTTTTTAGGCCCCCGGTGACCCCCCCCCCAAAAAATATATGTCTAGGACCGCCCTTGTCTTCTTTACCTATAAACTTAACTTATATAAAACTTTTATAAAACACATGGGATACACCCTTTCTTCACTGATCACGTAATGCGTGATTTTTTATAAAGTCTTGGAAAAATAAAAGGTAAAATAGATAGAATGCAGGTGTACTGTATGTGGTTTACACACAAATATTCATCAAACTGTGTGATATTTTGTTATTGCAATGAACAATTTGGGAGCATCGTATTGTTTAAGTCGATGGAAAATCTCTGTTGATCCTGTTTTACAAGCAAACCAAAAAGATACAGTAGTCACCACTCTATGCGACATATTCTAACCAGAAAATTGTAATCGTATGATTCTATAAGCATTGGTAGGATTGCAAAGTACTACACAAACATTATTTCACGGGTAATAACAGTTACAATTTCCGCTGACTTTAAAAGTGTCAACTAAAAAATTATACTAATGGACACACAACTAAATGGAACAACTAATGGAAATACTCACGATGTACATATAACAGTTCGATATAAGCATTGAGTATACACGTCAGTAGATACGTGTATACCCAATGATATAAGCAACGGTTCTTGCAATTTATTGCTTATTGTTTTTTAGAGTTGTTTTCGGACTTACTCTGTTTTCGGACTTACTCTGTTTTCGGACTTATTCTGTTTTCGGACTTACTCACACTCGTATAAGGTTGTCCACGTTTGTCATTGATAATGTAGCCATGTTACACCTGTTGTCACGAATATGTTTACAAGTTTTCCGTCTGTTTTTGAATAGCAATACATTTTTTCACATACTTAAGAACCACCTGATTTCGTGCGTTACATGTTCGTCTCAATTTTATTTGCTTTAGTAGCCATTCTTTTGGTTGATGAGGGCTTCAATAGGTCCTTTCAATGATTGCTCATGAGATATAGTACTTTGTCCATTAATTTTTATTGTTTGATAAAATGGATTAAATTATCCAGCAAGCCCAAATCAAAATAGTAAATATAGTATTTCAAACAAATCAGTAACATGTTAATAATGTAGCCTACATTATTTCCTTGAATTGCATAACAGCAATTAATTGAGCTGATCCTAATATAAATAAATCAATATGTTCTTCATAGGCATAACATGGGTTCTTTAAGAGCCACTGGGGCTGAGCCCAAGGAATTTAAAAATGTAAGGTTGGTTTGCAAATGTACGTGACACGCTCTTTCTAATGAGACATGAATGGTCAAAATCGCCTAAGAAATGCGGATGAGTTCAACGGAAAAATTTCGTGTTGGCGTTATACAGTATGGTTTAAAAGTCCTGGATTGGCTATATTTTTTAACAATATAGATAAAGTAGTGAGACTTGGTATATCAATAATAGCCATAAATATCTACTGTCTTAAGCTATTATCACTTTTTTATCCCTAAGGGAGATGGGCCACAAAGACCAAGACAAAATTCTTATATAATTTTAATACTATTTTATCTGTTTTTGAAATGGCGACCATACAAATGTAAGCATTTTAAGCCCAGTACGAATGGAGATGAGTGTGTGATGAGTGGAGCGATCTTGTTGTCCTGTTAGGGACTAAGGCCGACATAATCCTTAGACACAGCTGTTAATTAATAGTCCATACAGTCAATTAATAGCAGCAGAGGTCAAGTTTGGTATCAAATTAAAGGTTTTATTCATAAAAATACATTGCCGCAAACCCAAACTCAAACGATGATGATGATAATAACGTTAATGATGTCGCTAAAACGTATAGTTTGAAATTTAACAGCTGAAAATAAGTGAAATAGAAAAGGTTTTGGTTAAATCCATCAAATTGTAATTGGACACTAGTAAGTACCAGTGCACTTGTTGCTACCTCCCCCCTCCGGTTTCATGTATTCCTCTCAATCAGTTCAAACCTAGGAGGATTAAACATTGATGTTAATTAATGTTAAATCCTCCTAGATTCAAACCTGAAACACCCAGATCAAAACTCGCCTGTCGTTATTTACCATCGCCTTTTTTTATATATTTTTCAAAAAGAAAGATTATATTGATTTAATTTGGATTTTAAAAATGTTAACGTTTTATTTTGTTAAAGATTTATGGTGATACGTAAATATTGTGGTGTAGTAAAGTATATTATATTGCAGTTAAGTGTTAAATTTTGAAATTTTAGGGTGAATCGAGATGAATCTTTTTTTATAACATGGGTCTCTCCTACCTTAACATACATACCAAGTTTCAAAAAACTTTGGTTGGAAAAGTGCAAAGATAAATATTTGTATGTAAAAAATACAAAATGGTGGATATTTGGTTAACGAAACTATTTTGGAAAAAATGTTATCCTTGATTTTCTGTTTATTTTGACCCAAGGAATTACTAGGTGAAGTATCTCCCCGCTTATTTTTAACACCCTGTTTATGATGTATTCTTATAAGTGAAAAATTTAAGCTGGTAATACAGAAAGATGTTTTATAAATAATATGAATGTACAGGTGATCTGTATATTCATCTTTTTCTTGTCCTTAGAACTGTAAATTAAAAGTCCACTCAGCTGTCGCATCGTACGATGTATAGTTCTTTCCATGCGTTGCGAAATGCTAAATTTGCCGTCCTCTTCAACCCAAGTTATCTATTGAACCACAGGTTGTAAAAAATTAAAAAAAATATGTTTTACGCATCACACTTTTGGCTACAACTTTGCCACAGACAAAACCTCTCTAACCCAAAAACAAAAAAAATCTCGCATGCTAACTTTTTCATGCTAGAAATCACGATTTAAAACTATTTCACCATACATATCAATTTTTATTAATTAGATCGGTAAATAGTTTAAAGTTCAAACAAAATAGTCATCGAGTAGGACTAACCAAGAAGCTCTGTGCCAATTTTCAAAATTTTAGCACAACTTTAAGTACACCAAAACACGAAATTATTGAAGTCATGCGTCGAGAGGACTATCGTAGTTTTTAACAGCTTATACTTTTGACCTTCCGGCACTGTTGACTCAGCGAAACTGAACTTATATTTTATCTTTTTTCGTTATATTAAAACTGCTGTTGCATTAGGTCAAATTCCCAATAAGTCAATTGCTTTAACATAGACTACGTTTTTAGCACGGACTGTACTTTTTGACTTACTGGGATTTTTGATCTACAGACACTCCAAACATTGTAGTTTTTGACCTAGCGGCACAGGTATAAATTATTTGACCTTCCGGGACTGTTGACTTTCTGCAACGCGTCCAGACGGTACTCTAAGGGAAGAAAATCTAGACAGACCTCAAGCCACAGAACAAAAAGAAAACAAATTAACTCGTCCTTCCAGACAGCGCAAGGTTCCGTCCTATCTTAAGGACTTTGCTCTCCAGCGATTAAGTGGGGGAGAATGTTATGAACATATGTAGTTGTTACCATAGCAACCAAAATGTTTATTATCAAATGCTGTTTACTATTCTATTCTGATCTTAAATATAACACAGTTACTTCTATTTCAACACTCTGTCTTTTATTATATTCTAATATTTCCACTCGAAAGTCATCTCAGTACCCTGTTTAAAATTATTTAAAACATAAAATGATTTTAAACAGGGTACTATGGTATTTATTATTTCACTTATATATATGTTTGTAAAAAAGGCCCTCTCATCTAAGTCGCCCCAGGCCCCCAACTATAACAGTACGCCACTGGTCGTAGCCATAGCCCATACAGTCATCAAGCAGAATAACTTACTGAACTCAAAATCATACAAGATGGATGGCCAATGGCAAAAGACTCCCTTCCAAATGAAGTAAAACAATATTGGACATACAGAGATGAAATTAGTATTCAAGATGGACTCATTTTTAAGGTGGTTTCACACTGGCGTCCGCGGACGATAATTTTGTCCGCGGACGGATGAAATGATTCGGATGGATGCTACGTGGCTCCTTCACATTGCGAGCTACGTTTCAAACGCCCACTCATTCGCGAATGCAAATAGGGAAGTTGGACATTCCTCCTACAACTCGGCGGAGGTATACAAAATATCTGTGCATACTGTCACATGGTATCAGCCCGGATTTTCTGTTCCGTGGCTTGATTCAGGTAAATGAAATGAAATGAAACAAAATGTGTTTATTGTCTTGTGAATTTATACAAATTATTGACAATGTCCGAAAACTGCAAAAACTAGCATAGTCATCAAAGCCAAGTGGGCATGCCACCGCTGACACCTCTCCACAACAGCAGGAGAGCTTCAACACCCAAGGTGCACCTTTGATTGATCATCTGCAAATAGAGGTGAGCAAAACCTTCCCAGCCAAACAGCGAAGTTCTACCCAATCCCCTCAAAGGAAGGCACAGTATCTTCAGACACAGTCAAGGCACAGTATACAGTATCTTCGCAGACTTGTCTAGAGGAGGGATCTTCCCAGCCCAGTCAACAGCAGCAGCCTGTGCACGTGTCTAGTGATGGGGGGTTGATTGTCTCTGGGGTAAATAGTGCAGTAATTGGTGATGACCCGCCCAAATGTAATGCCCTACCAACCTCCGAAACCCAAATTCCTGGTTCCATAGATAACCCTAGTGCATTAACAATAGTATGCCTCCTTTTTTGGAGAAAACCTACAAGAATGTATTAGTTAAATTACTTTGTTATGTCTCAAAAGCAGCACTGAAAACTTTTTAATTCCTCTCCAAAATGTGCAGAATTTATCAACCCGTATTGAAATATTAGAAGTAAACCTGGATGAAATTAAACCAGATATTATTATATTGACAGAAATAAGTATGCGTGGAACAGATTTATCATTTTTCAATTTTAAAAACTACAAAATAGCATCCTCGTGGTCGTGGACTAGAGCTACAACAACTGGAGGAGGGGTATTAATTCTCACAAATTCGTCACTTAATATTAATAAAGAGGTTGTACTAAAAGGAATACAAAATATAATATCAGAGAAGGAGTTTGAGTGCTGTTTGGTTGAAGTAACAGTTGAAAGCATGTTTTTTGTACAGATGTATATAGGGCTCCAGAATAAAAATACAATGATCCTTTTTTTATCTAAACTAGAAACTACACTAGAAATATTTACTAAGAAATATGAAAACATCATTACATTTTACCTGGAGATGTAAACATAGATGTTTTAAATCATAATTCATTGTATCATAGATTTTTAATATGTACAAAATGTCGTACAGAATATGCTGTAGTCAGTCACTTTTAACTACGACCAGCGGTTCTCGAGATTTTAGCCAAAAACTAAAAAGGTGCCCTATTTTTGCTAATTGCCGCTAAAGCTCACCTCGAATCTTCCCAAGGTACCTGGCTAGAAATAAGTGTGCAAAGTTTCAAAACTTTCGTATTTTTTGGAGGTTAAACCTTTTCTTGACAGGACTATATTACCTACCCTCAAGAAAATCCTACATTAATATTTTAAGACAATCAGAGCTATATATATCAAGCTTATTGAAAATGAAAAGATGAGTGCCAGAATAAAACATTTAGATATTCTGGAATACTGTCTGAGTGAAAATAATCAAGCCCTTAAACAAAGCCACTTCTAGAGCAACATTTAAAGAACCACTCTTTTTGCCTAGGAGACAAAAGAACTAAAAATAGACCGACAGCAGTGCTGAGGTTGGCATATATTCATGTTACGTACTAGGAGGATTAAACATTAATGTTTAATCCTCCTAGGTTACGTATGCTGCAGCGTCAAGCGCTAGCGAGCGTTGTCATGACAAGTTAGTAGTTAGAGCCAAGGTTGCCAACTTCTGGAGGATTTCCTGGAATACGGGGAGTAGGAATTTGTTCTGTTCTGTTTCCGTAATATAGAAATTTTCAGGGATTAAAAATAATTGGCTTTTCCGTTAATATTACGGGATTTCAAAACTTTGTACTTTACCCATATTGAAAAGTGGGTTTGATACGTTGGTAGCATTTTGTTTGCAATGGTGGTAGTGCAGACTTGTTCCAGACGGCGAGTCGATGACGGCAGCAAATTGACAAACACTGAGCACTCTCTCCCACACCTCCTCAGCACATCGCGGAACCTTCCTTTGTCAGTCTATATTTAATTCTTTTGTCTATGCTAGGACTTTATTATAGGCACGATGTCGAGAGTGAGTGTTGGAGTGAGAACAGTTTTCTTATTACCTTTTTTATTAAGTCATGTGTTATCTAGTTTGTTTTGTTGCCAAGTAAATACTGTAATAAAGTTTATTGTGTGTACAAAAGAATAGATAGTTTTATTTTTATTTTGATATATATAAGCTAAGCATATGGTATATAGTATACTTAATCCACCATATTGTTTAATCGGTGGAATGCAAATAAAACACTGTGCAGCCATCCGTCCTCACTATTTTAGCACAGACGCAATTTGTAGTAAATTTAAATGTTAATGTCAGTGATTGTTGAGTTCCCAACACCAAACTCACAAGCTAGAGCAGGGTTTTCCTAGCCGCGGAATGCGAAGAGCGGACTCCTTTTGTAATTTAATGTTTTCCTAGAAGCGGAGTGGAATGCCATGTTAATCCCTTTTCTACCCTCCGATTTTAGTGTTCCGCTTCCGCGCCTAGGAAACCCTGGTTTAAGCTTGAACGACGGGAATTATTTTCAGCCCATCTAATATTTAAAATTTGTCAGATATAGTATTTACGTTTCCTTTTTGCTAACATTGCTATAGCCTACTGTAAATAAAAAAGCAAATTAAAAACGCCATTTACTTCAAACAATAATCACTGATGTCACTGACACAAAGTGAGATGTGTAAGGTCTACTAAAAGCACGATTAGTGACAGTGCTAGGACCTTGTCAAGGTGGCCTTTGGTCCCTACAACCCCCTCACCCTTGGAACCGCTACTGAGCATGATCTCTGTGTCGCTGAGTTTTGTGCAAAGCGTTGTGCCGTGTATAGTCCTGCCAGCCGCTCTTCTAAGTTTGCGTGGCAGTAAATTGAAATATTATGTCTTTGGCAGTGATTTAGGTTAACTGATGTTTTGGATGAATGGCTTTCAGATAATTGGTGCTCTCCTGTCAACCTAAAAAGGTAAATTAAAGGTAAACATTGAAAAAATCAAAGATTTAATTTTACGAACTTACATATTATGTCCATACATAAAGCTAAACAATCCATATGTTATTTCTATATCACAAATTTAAACACTCTATAAAATAATAAAACTAATTATGTAGTAAAAATTTAGAGTTTGGCTTAAAAGGATGAATAGAATTAATATGTACAACCAAATTGACTAAATACAATGTATATTGACACAGATTCATAAATTATTAGTTACCTCCATATCGTTATGCATATCGGTTACAATATATCAAATTGTGTACTTATGCTAAGAACGATTGAGGTTGAAACTAGTAGTGGGATGAATATGAACAATTATTAAGGAAAGAGGTTGCATTTTGATACATTCAATGTGATACTTTATAGTTACCTATTTATATTATGTACATAAAGCATTAATACTAAATTACACTATTTACACAATCAATTTATACACAAACTACCACGTATGTTTGTAAAGGACAGAATCATTAAAGAATTAATAACATAGACTACTGATCATTACAAATCTACTAAAAAGAGGTGCCTAAGACAGGTGTATGACGTCGCCTATTGACCTGGATGGTGCTGCTTTTAATGCACACAGCTGCCACCTGCCAATTTTGTTGGTATTGTTGTTTGTTTTTGGGTAAGTTCTGTGTGACCAAGTACATTTTTTAATAATATTATACTTTAAGTAAACTCAAATGCCTGGTGAGCGATGTGCTGAAGCAGTCTGTAACAATAGCCAGATAAATTGTGAACCTGGTGAAGCTTAAATTATTTTATCATAGATTCCCTAGAGTTAGGACAAAAAACTATGCCAGCAACAGGTAGGTACGACATTTTTTGTCACACTGCAGCAAAAACAGACGTTTTTAATGTATGCGTTGCGAGTTTAAAGTAGCATTTTTACTCCCTAGGGAGTTAAAATCAGCTATTAGTTGTCAACTCAGTTATAAATTTTGATTGTAAACAATCGCATGTATCAAAAGTATAACTCGATAGTTTAATGGATTAGCTTATTGTTGCTTATTCTAAATAGTTCGACAGATCGATAGTAAAATGTTCAATCCTAATAGACGAAACAATTTAATCACATACTAAACAGCTGCTCGTTTCCATTAGCAATTTAAAATGAAAACAAGTTAGAAATAGTTTTGCGAGGTTATCTTCATCTTCATCTGAAAACTATTTTAGTTCTGTAACATAGTACGTATGTTCAAATAATGGTGCAATATGACGAAAAATACAGTTCATCACATGGGAAAAAAGTGTCTTTGAACCCTCGCTTATTTTCCCACCTCGGTTTCGCCTCAATCGTAAAACTTAAGCTCGGGACAAAAAGACCTCTCTAGTGATGAAATATACTATTAATTCTTGTAATTCCATAATTTTTGTTCAACACATTTTACTGTCAATGATTGTAAATGCTCAGATTCCTTAACCCTCGAGTGTCCCTAGTTTTGGTCTTAATGTCTGCCTATTTTTTGTGCATTTGCAAGGTTTTATTAAAACGGATCTGAGAAGCTTAAAAACAATGTTAATTATACTGTTCTATATACCATTTTGTTTGTAAAATCATGGGCTTCAATATTATACATAAAACATAAGGAACATTGTTTCCAAAAAATTTTTTAGGTAAAAAAAAATATTTTGGAAAATTTTCAAAAAAAAAAGTTTGCGCTCAATGAAATTGTATAAATTATAGGCCTATAAATATTTGAAAATAGCCACTTTGTTCTAAATTTTATGAGGATTCCAAAAAATTAATAATATAAGGAAGTAGATTTGCAAATAAATAAGTTATGGGCAAAAAACAGATTTCGGTACATAGCGTTTAGCTAAGAATGCATAGCCTAACCATAGCTAGGAATCTGGCTGATAATTTACATCAATATCACTACCTACTTCTTCAGGATCATCAACCAGCCCTTCAAAATCACTTAAATATTCTTATAATGCACCACGTATATCACTACTTTTGATTTTTAACACTAAAACAATGATAAACATAATAAAACACATCAGTCATTGGTGCGAGGTTAACCAAGCTGTTTACAAATACGCACGTCACCTGTCTGCTACAATTATGATCGGCTCGAGAAAAAAAAGCGCTTAGAGACAGACCTAGGGAGAGTGCTTAGAATGTGCCAAATAAAACGATACCTAACTCGATCCAGTTCAATCCGATTTTGTCAGTCATAGAGCCTTCGTCGTAAACAGTGTTTGTGAGTCGAAGCTTCGACACAAAACACTCCACAAAGTGTGTTATGTGTCTAAGCTTCGACAAATAACACTCGGAGGGTTAAAGTGAAGTGAACGCAAAGAAAATCTCTTCATTAGTCAACATTGCTTTAACCCATTGGGGAAGGAATTAATGTGCTGCATGCTGCACCCTCTGTCGGCAATTAATTTTACCGAATTTGTAGACTTTTACTCTAATTACCATAGAAATAAAACCTAAGGTAATAAATTAATAATTCTTTCACCATTTTGTTCACAGTAAAACTGTCTACAGAAAAGTGGTAATTGGACAATCAAAGTGTAAAAAGAAAAAAAAAACCAAAACTATAAAGTTTATAGAAATAAAAATTCTTAAAAAATTTTTTTTTAAAGTAAACTTGATATACAAATTCCAAGATTAATCCAGACACAAAATAACACTACTATTATTAAGTTCAATTGATTCCCTACGTAGAAAAATCAAAAGTTGTCTACTTTTATAAGTAATAACGTAGAAAAAAAATTGTTTGTTTACCTTACCACAGCTGATTTTTGGTGATACTGTATCTGGTTTCCATGGTAACAAAAAATTGTTTGTTATTCGCTAAAATAAATGAGTAAATACGCAAATCAAGAAGCAAGATATTTATAAATATTATAAAAGTAAAAAGAAACAAAAAGGGAGGAAAATAATAATAATTAAATAACTAGTGGCGCTGCGTAGCGGAGACACGAGCGGCACTCGTAAGTCGGCCGCCGGGCCTAGTAATATACTAATCTGGTTATTGCTATAATATATTAACGTTAGGGATTTGTGAAGTTTCTCATAGGTTTGAGGGATTTTATAAAATTTTCTTTTAAGTTTCGGCTTTGACTATTGCCAATAGTCAATGGTTTCAATTTTCTTTTGTCATCTGTTTTATATCACCTGCATCAAGTTCAATTTTCTGTTTAAAAGTTTAACCTGTTTTCTGAGATAAGCTATTTTATTGGTTGAGGTATCCAGATATCATGATTACTTAACACTTACTTTATACTTAATTCTTACTTTACTTTATAAAAAATGATTTATACACACTGAATATATTGTCACTTTCAATACAGCTTTCATTTTCTGTGTTTCAATTTTTAACAAGAAAATCTTGTTGGAAATTTAATTTTTTTGACACAGTTTGACAGGTGGAAATGCACCTGGCTTAAGAATCCTTTTTTGGAGCAAAATTAAACAGTTCAGCTTTGAATTTTTTTTGTAATCATTGTGAGTAAATATTATTTAGAACAGATTAGGGAAATGCGAGGATTAAATGATTGATTTCCTTGTTTGCAGCAGTGTGCCTAGTTTTGCATAGTTCTTCATCCTTAGGAAAACAATAATAAACTATTTAAAGTCTGTCACTATGTTACTAACGGGTTTTCATCTGGCTATTGTTACAGTCTACAAAGAGCACATCCCTCACCAGGCATTTCAACATGTCTAGTTAAATCAAAGTAAAAAAAATTTCATTGTTGTAGCCCCGGAACTGTAATATATAAAATATCTGGTTTTACAATACCTTTATCAGTTCCAAAAAAAACTATGTTGAGCTATGTTTATCAGTTTTTGGAACTGATAAAGGTATTGTAAAACCAGATATTTAAAAAAAAAAAAAAAACCGAGAACAGAATATAATGCGGAAAAATACCCCCGCCGCAGCGAACCTGCAGACTAAGCGAATTTACATTTGCCTGATTGGATTTACACTAAAATGTCTCCTTAAAAATATCACATTAATTCCCTATTTAAATAGCATTAGTTTAAAAGTACTTAGGTTTGCTGCAACAGGGAGGGTAAAAAGGTGTTTTTTTTTATGTTAATAGTTTAGTTTGAAATTATGCATTTTCCAAATCTTATCAAAATATGCTCATAAACAAGCAAACTATAACAGTTAACAATTTTCTCCAAAAGAATAACATGGGAATTTTAAATTAAAAACTTTTTTGAATTTTCTCCGTAGCCATTAGGCGCATACTAACACTTCAATATACTAAATTATCTGTTTTTTAAGCTCTACTAAATGGTTTGGAAAGAAGTTGCTAAATTTTATGTTTTTAGGGTCCAAAATGGGAAAAACCAATTTTTACCCCATAAAACCACCCATAAACCCCTGTTCCCATAGTCTGATCATGGGACTATAGCGGACTGGATAGCGAATAAAAACACACGGACAGCGAACGCAAACAAAAACAACAATAACAACATATTTGACAGGTGGCGTCATACACACGTCTTAGGCAACCTCTTTTTAGTAGCCTTGGATAACATTAATATTTATTCCTTTTCATATTTATTTGATAATTTAAATAATTCATTTATTTAGTCATTATTACTAATTATTTTTAAAGGGATAAGCATTTGGAGTCAATTAAGTTAATTCCATGGTATAAGATTTTATGAAAATAAACTGGTAAAGCACTCATAAACATTTTCTTAGCCACTTTGACATATCTCTGGATGCAAGGGAGCCTTAGAGTGAATCTGTATTAACATAATATTTGGTCTTCCAACTGTTGGTATAAAATATCCTGAAATTTTCCAGAATCCAAATCTAAGAAATAATTGAAAACTGCATATAGTAATAATTGTTCATGTCAGAACTATGTTAGTCAAAGTTTATTTGCTTTTCTTAAAGTAGGGGACTGTTAGTGATATTACTTGGTAAGTGGCTGTGATTGTGCTGCAGTGTAAACTATTATGTACCTAGTGAGTTATAGGCCAAACAAGCTCCTAGTGACTAACTAATAAGTAGGCTTAGTACAAACATTTTATTGCTATTTCATACTGCGATAAACATTTTTACGGATGAGTCATTGAAGATGTATTACAAAATTTAAAGATAAGTAATCTGCATGAATTGTATTAAATAAGAAAGAAAAAAAAACACACAGAAAGTAAAAATAATAAATATAGATACATTTACAAATAAATATAAAATTAATGGTGATTTATACAAACATAGCTTATAACAGGGCTTCAATTCTATTTTTAAAAAGTAGGGATCCTGTAGAAAAATCAGCTGTTTGCTTTTGTTTGTATTTCATTATTAACAATTATTCCTACCGTAGTTATTGATTTAATTTTGTGAGTAAATTGAATTGAAGGTGAAGGTACCTTTTTAAAGATTGCCATACTTTATGTGGCTACGATGGATAAAAGCCACAAGAAGTGTTCAAAAGCAGTCATTGTCAAAAGAAATGATAATTGTGTTGCAAGTTTCTTAGGCGTACAAAAGGATATGGAAAAAATGCAAAGAACTCTAAAATAAAATGCAGATTGAGAAGAGATGCTCTTGAGCTATTTATCGGGTGATGATAACCCATAATCTTGGACCAAATCTAAAACAATAATTCTATAAAGAACCAACAAATACAAGTGGGGTAAAAATAAGGGTTGAAAATTTGGTAATTTATAGTTGAAAAGCAGGAGAAGGTAGAAAAATTCAATTCATTGTAGGCTTACTCGTATGAAGGGATAAGCGGTGGAATAATGAAATGAAATAATTCAGACAAAAAAGGAGATGGTGCGATAGATAAGAGTGGAGAAAGAGCATGGGAGGAAAAGCGTAGTATATTTCTTTTTTGTTGCTAATAATAAAAAAAGTGTTTGTGTTGATCTTGTAGGTAAATAAACTGGTTGAATTGAATTTATGGTAACTTTAAAAGATTATTTTACTCCCAAATCATTAGTGCTACCACTAACAGCAATGCATGTATTGAAAACATGCACGTATGTTACTTCACTACTGTATAGGAAATTATGAGGGGAAAAGCTACAGGTCCCAGTCTACTTCAAGGCTCCCTTGGCTTGAAATGTAATATATAAACCCAATCAAAATTTTTATTTCATGTAACAAGCAAAATAAACTAGTAATATTTTAAATTCGATATTTTTCATTGTCAAAATAAATAGGTCATTGTTAACATTTTAATCAAAATTAAAGAATAAATAAATAGGACAAGCAATGTAAGGTATTGGGATACGTAGAACTCACAAACAAATACACTCACTCTAATAGCTTCCTCCCTGATAAAAATTAAATATGAAACACTAATGGCAAATGTAAATTTATCTCATTAATGACATAAATTTAAATACAAAGAGAATTCATCAAATGTCGCATCTGACCCTACGTAATTTATCGGTGGAAGCCAAGAAAGTCGGTGAGTCTATCTTGTAACCACTGAGAGAGAGGTTCTGGTTTGGACGGAGAGTGTAAGTCCTCAGTGGCTGGGAGATATTCCTCACTGCGGATACAGAAGTAGGAGTTGATGGGGCTGCGACACATGGGACAGGACTGTAGCTTGGCAAAGCAGGAGGCACAGACACAAGTGTGACGACACGGCAGTAGAGCTCGGGACAGAGGGAAGTATTGACACACTACACACAGCTGTTCCCCCACCACGACTGGGCGGTCATCATCCTCATACGACTGAGGGTTGCCTGTGGCCAGGTACAGTTGCTGCAACACAACAACGTGCCTTTTATTTATCTTTTTTAGTTTTCATTTTGTGTGTTTCAAAGATTTAGGCACTATATGTTTTATTTGGGAATGGAAATGGTCTGTACCGTGGCCCTAATAGTACACAACAATGATTTATACAAAGCAATATTAATATTAGTTCAATGACAATTGGCAACTTGGTCCAGAATCAATGTTTGTAAGGCTCGAACCAGCTACTGCCAGATTTGAAGGTGAGTACTGTAACTATACGGCAACTCAGTCAACTGATACTTGAATGCATGTTTAACATTCCTATATGTAGAGTTGTGGCATGGACTTTTAGATACTGAAGTCCCATCAACAAGGACCAGCTATCTGTCGCTATCAATAGTCACAGGTTGTAATAAGTTTAAGACTGAAAATGAGCCACCAACAATTACGAATAACTGTTGTTAACCAAGCAAAACCAAAAGGACAACTTGCTGCAAAATACCAAATGTTGATGTCACATCAATTATCAAAGTTTGGAAAAATAAGGGAGAAAATTGAATTGACAGTAGCACACTCCATGAGCGGGTAGGGCGACTCAACTAAGTTCCAATTGAAATAAAAATTTGCTACAGCTGGTACAAAAAGATGAAGTGTCTGGTCTAGTCTAGGCTGTCATTATTTGATTACCTTGAGGCAGGAGAGTTGACCATTGGCTTGTTTGAGGTACTGGGCCAGGATGGAGGTTGGCAGAGTGCAGACTGAGTCCTTGATATGGATCACATTGATAAGAGCCACCTGCACAAACCACCGTTAATCGTTAGTGTCTAATCAATTTAAACATATTTTACAACTGAGAAACGGACTAATTTAAATAGCTAATTACTATTCTACTAGAAGCTAAGATCCACCACTAAGTAAACATTAATAAATTTGTTACTCAGTGTGAATTAATTACACAAGTTTTGAAATAACAAATTGTTTTACCGTACCATCAACTATGGTTTCAAGGAGCACTGAAATTAATTTACAAAAATAATTCTTATGTGACCACATTTTCTAAAGTGATTACTTTAGTATAAATTAAAAATCGTAAATGACTGTAATTATGACTTTAAAGTAATGTCTTCATATAAAAATAATCAAAATACTACTATAACTTGTTCTAAAGTGATTCCTGTAAAGTGTTGTGCCACAATATACAATGCCAAATTTTTCAGATGAAGGATTGAGCAGTTTGTATACTTTAATACCCTTTAACAGGATTTATTCATGAAATAATTTTTCTACATTAAAATAAGCTCAATGTTTTTCTCATTTGCCTTTTAAAGCTTCAGAATTGCGGAATTGGGTCGCCGGAATTTTATCCCCCTGGAATTTTACCCCCTGGGCAAAGCTGACGTCACTATGACGTAGTAACCTGAGTGGCCAAAAGTTGGTTTGCGGCCAAAATTTTCCCCCCGCGGATTTGGAGGTCTAATGAAAATAGCCAGAGCGTGATTAATTAGATTAGCAATAAAAACCGGAATTTTACCCCCTGTCCATATAACTAGCGTTTAGACAACTGAAGATGTACGGGCCGGATTTTTACCCCTCGGAATTTTACCCCCTGGCCGATTTTAGAAATTGAATGATTGATTTTCTTATTTCTGATTTTAATTAATTGTAAACATTTCATTATTTAGTCGCCTGTCTTTATTTATTTATTTTGTAATCACAACTGTAAACAGAATTCGATGTTTAATTTTGATGTTCGGGATTTGCGTTTGGGGCCAACTGTTGGTTAATAAGTATGTAAAATAAACTGAGTAGCTCATTTAAATGATAATTGGGTGAACATTTCTTCGTAAAGAAACAATAAGGCATATTTTGTTTGTAGTTACAATACTAACGAAAACCATTGTTTTACCACGTTTGTATAATAAATCGTTAAAGAAATCTTCGAATCAATTACCATTCTGATGTTTGTTCATACGTCATATTAATCGACAGTTGGCTTCAAAGATCGAATCCTGATTCCTGAAACTCGAATCTCAAAATTAAAATCAAAAACCTGTTCGATTAGTTGATGTTACAAATAAATTGAGATAGGCTGCTTAATAATAAAATGTTTACTATTAAATTAAAACAGAATTAACTAATTAATCATTCTCACTAATTTATATATCTGGCCAGGGGGTAAATTCCGGGGGTAAAAATCCGGGGGTAAAAATCCGGGGGGTAAAATTCCGGGGGTAAAAATCCGGGCCGTACACTCTAGGTTTTTTATAATTTGATGTGTTCTGATTAAATTCACAACCGTGAAAATATTCCACGTTTAATCCATCAAGCTGATGTCACGAAACTCAAAAGTTCGCGGCCGGAATTTTACCCCCTGGTTTGTGACGTCACTTTTGCCCAGGGGGTAAAATTCTAGGGGGATGAAAATCCGCTACCCCGCGGAATTGCAACATTTTTAAGAACATTTATGAACGAACTCACATTGTTTCCATTCACACTATTATACATTTAGGCTATTATTTAAACGTAAATAATAACAACTTTCTATTGTTTATTACAGTAGAGTCCCGCTATTACGAACCCCGCTACAGTATGCTCTCGATTAAACAAGAGAGATTACCTCGGTTACGGCAAATCTCGGATAACACGAAGGTCTGACAGATTGTTAGGTTAGGGGTTACAATACCACATTAAGAAGTCAAATAAAATAAAGTGTTAAAGTCTTGCAAAAGAGTTAAAAGAAATATGTTTTAACAATACATAGCAGTTGCAAATTTTTTAAGGAGACAGTGTTATTAAAGAAAACAATTACTCAAACATGCTCAATACAATGGTTTTGAAAAACCTTGAAATACAGTAGAGTAACTCGGGGCAAGAGTGCGCACGGGGTAAGAGTACGCAGAGCGGACATTTTTACTTTGCGTTTGAGCTAGTTGGTACGAGTCTCATCCGGTGCATGACAGTACCCACACCATTCCTCTTTAGTTTGATGGTTCCTCTCTGTTTATTAATCTCACAATGGGGTTAACCTTTTTACCGCTAGTTTGATCTAATATTTAAGTATTTAGGAGTTAGTATATGTTATTCCAAATATTCAACTGTTTCAATCCTATATGGTTTAAAAGGTCATTCAATGCTCTACTTATAGCCATGTTAAATTAGTTCCTTTAATGGCCACAGCGAGCAGCAGCTCCTTACATGTAAAAACTTTGGATGTGGGGCAAGAGTTCTCATTGCCGTTGGGGCAAAAGTTTGCATGCATACTCTTGCCCCAAACATGTTGTTTCAGTGTTCACAAAATTTGTATGAATTGTATTCACGCAAGGTAATTTTTACTCCAATGTCGTGTATTTTACGTGTTAAGTTGATGATGACTAAAGTCTTAAAGACATGTTCTTTAAGCAGTATACTACCATGCTATTTTGTACTAATTTATAGTCTACTTTCACTTTCAGGAGACATAAAAAAAAAAACACTGATCGGAAGATATGTACAGAGATGCTTCATACGTTCATCGAAGTGGACGGTTGTGTTTTGGCCGACCACTCTTATCTTTATGCGATAAGTACATGTTTTTATCATAGTGTCGTGGCTTCAAATTTATAGTAAATTTTTTTTAATTATAACTTTTTTGTAAATATATTTCTAAAATTGAACCTACAATTAATGACAAGTGTAGAATATGTTCTAAAAATGTTGGTAACCGTCAAACCAAAATTCAGTGTAGTGATTGCAACGGCATTTTCCATGGAGGGTGTGTTCAAATGTCCAAAGAAGATATAGATTATTTATTAGTTAATAATGAGATACGGCGTTGTGAACCTTGCAAGAAGTTAAGAAGGAAAAGTATGCAAGTTGAATCTCAACTAGACTAGTAGTACGCTTATTCTGCGCGTAACGGGATGAGTGAACATGAGCGAAATAATGAAAGAGTCCACCCACACCTAGCATACTTACCGGTGTCACTGGTGAACACAATAATGTTATTTGTGTGGGCAAATCAACCCATGAGTCGGGGCAAATAATGGTGAGTCGGTGGCTCAGTCGGTAGCGTCACGCGGACTTCGGGCCCAAGGCAGCGATGTCGTGGGTTCGGATCCTGGTCACTGCCACTAAATTTTATCAGTACAGTTCACCTTTGTCCTGTACCGGCTCACCCCTTGCTTTGCTGTAAACGATCCACTCACGGGCGCTTAGTCTATGAGGACGGGCAAATGCAAGGTTAAAAGAGGCTGCCAACCTCTTAAAAAAAACCAAATCAAACCAGTCAACAACAATCCTAACTTCTCGTCCATTAATTAACAAAAGTAATTGGTAATATACATAATGTATTTCCTGTTTCCCTCTCTTCTCATAGCATTTTATTATTGCAGATACATTAATCTAACTGTCACAAAGGGTTCCCACACTCCGGACTCCTCGCCTCGACTACTCCCTTCACCACTTCCTACGTCGTAGACCTGTTTCCCTCCCTTCCTATAGCATTTTAGAATTTCAAATAGATTAATTTAACTTTCACAAAGAGTTCCCACACTCCGGACTGTTCACCTTGACTACATCCTTCACCACTTCCTACGTCGTGGACCTGTTTCCCTCTCTTCTCATAGCATTTTATTATTGCAGATACATTAATCTAACTGTCACAAAGGGTTCTCACACTTCGGACTCCTCGCCTCGACTACTCCATTCACCACTTCCTACGTCGTGGACCTGTTTCCCTCCCTTTCCATAGCATTTTTAGAATTGCAGATACTTTACATTATTCTAATTATCACAAAGGGTTTCTACACTCCGGACTGCTCACCTCGACTACTTCCTTCACCACTTCCTACGTCGTAGACCTGTTTCCCTCCCTTCCTATATCATTTTAGAATTTCAAATAGATTAATTTAACTTTCACAAAGGGTTCCCACACACCGGACTGTTCACCTTGACTACATCCTTCACCGCTTCCTACGTCGTGGACCTGTTTCCCTATACCTATAGCATCCTATACCATTTTAGAAGTTCAAATAGATTAATTTAACTTTCACAAAGGATTCCCACACTCCAGACTGCTCACCTTGACTACATCCTTCACCGCTTCCTACGTCGTGGACCTGTTTCCCTCCCTTCCCATAGCATTTTAGAATTGCAGTTACATTAATCTAACTGTCACAAAGGGTTTTTACACTCCAGAATGCTCGCCTCGACTACTTCCATTACCGTACCACTTCCTACGTCGTGGACCTGTTTCCCTCCCTTCCTATAGCATTTTGGTATTGCAGGTATATTAATCTAACTGTCACAAAGGGTTTCTACACTCCGGACTGCTCACCTCGACTACTTCCATTAAAACTTCCTACGTCGTGGACCTGTTTCCCTCCCTTCCTATAGCATTTTAGTATTGCAGGTATATTAATCTAACTGTCACAAAGAGTTTCTACACTCCGGACTGCTCGCCTTGACTACTTCCATCACCGCTTCCTACGTCGTGGACCTGTTTCCCTCCCTTCCTATAGCATTTTATTATGGCAGATACATTAATCTAACTGCCAAAAAGGGTTCCCACACTCCGGACTGCTCGACTTGAGGGTAGGCAGCGCTCAAAAGTTAAACATGTTCAACTTCTGATTGTGGCTAGTGAACACTAGCGCGCTGGCATTCACCGGCCGCTGGTTCTGGGTCAGACTAGGCTGCTTGCTGGCAATATTCAGCAATATTACCAGCGGTTGGTTAGAAGCGGCTACTAAACAGCCTAGTGTGACCGCGGCTTATGTAATCTGTATGCCTGGCATTGTCACAATTCTGTTTTGTTT